GCTTATACTTATTAAATAATGCATACTTGCCCAGGTTCTGAAGCAACTTAACCGTCCTATACTGTATTCTCTATCTCCTGGAACCAGAGCTACTCCTACAATGGCCAAGGGTATAAGTGGGTTAGTTAACATGTACCGTATAACTGGAGATGATTGGGATTCATGGGGAGATGTTTTAGCTCATTTTGATGTTTCCAGGTGAGAAACCTGTTTTCATTTTAGTTCAGGGTTTCATTCAGTTAAATTCAACTATTTTTTATATTCTGTGTTTTTACTGAATGTCATCGTATAACACAATTCAATTCCATATCAGGGATTTTGCTGCTGCTAATATGATAGGAGCAAACGGATTACTGGGGAAGTCATGGCCTGACTTAGATATGCTACCCCTGGGATGGCTTAGCAATGCAGGTAATAGGACTTGCATTTTTCTTTCCTTTTTATGGCAATGAATATTTTCTTTTCAATATTCTTTAGACAGAGGAATGAGCTCAATTGAACTATGCCTGATAATGGGTTGTCATCACAATGCATTGGAGTTCCAAAACTGTGTCAGTTCAATATCTAGAAGTAGGAATGAGGCTGTCCATCATAAGGCATGGCAGGGCTATTTATGTCCTGGCAACTTTAGAAGTTCATAAATGCACCTTATTAGTTTGAACTGTTTAAATTCAAGTTCTACAGTTGATGGATGAGAACTATAATTTATGTTTCATGTGTTGAAAATATTAGGTTCAAATGATGGTCCACACAGATATACTAACCTCGGTTTAAGGGAGCAAAGAACACAGGTGCTTACATAAGGAGAAGTGAGTGTTTATGTCCTTTTCAATTAGCTGAGCAATCTTCTTGACCTAGTGCAATTATTTTAACAGATGACTTTGTGGTCTATGGCCAAATCTCCTCTCATGTTTGGAGGAGATGTGAGAAAGCTGGATGATACCACATACGGTCTCATCACAAATCCAACCTTGCTGGAGATAAATTCTTTTAGCTCAAATAATAAGGAGGTATGTTGAATATTTAATTCATAAAATCCTAAGAATAAACTTTGGTCTTAGTAGCAACATAAAATCTTCTTTTGTTGCATTTACAGTTTCCATACGTTTCAAGTAATTTGAGCGCAAGGGCTTTTAAAAATGATGATCGGGTACACACCTGGAAAGCAAGAAGACATCTGACAGATGCAAAAAGTTCAGACACACATGTTCTTGGTCTCACTACCTGTGCAGATGTGAAAGCAATGGGTTGGTCTATTCAAGCTGTTGACCAAGATCCTGAACACATCTGCTGGAAGGGAAACTCAAGGAGCAAACGTCGGGCACCTTTTTGCCTAAACAAGAGAGAATCTCTTTTGGCATTGTAATACTTCTTTATCTTTCCCTAATCCATTTGTATTGATCTTATTATGGTTACTTGCACTTTTACAAATGTGATAATTCTGATTTCAATGCCTATATAGAGATGAAGACATAATTGACAAACAGAAATATCAGGGGAAGGTCAATTTATTAGCAAGTGACAAAATGGACCTTTGCTTGCATGCTTCCCCTAAACGAAAGCTTACTTCGAAGGAGCTTAAGAGAGGGTTCTTTTCACCTTGTAGATGGGATGCGAACCAGGTATTTCCAGTCCTTATTCATAGATCTATAGTATACAGAAGTGATATCTTGCATACACCATTGAGAGTTTAATCTGAAAGCATAATCTGACGTATGAATAAGGATATCTTGCATGCACCATAGAGAGTTGTATGGAGCATATTATTCCACGGAGGAATGACTTTTTGCCAGTATTTATCTGATGCATAATCTGACCCGTTTGTTTGTAGACTTGGGCATACAATTCCAAGTCATCACAACTTAACCACATCTATGTTCTCCCTGAGAATGCACTTTTTTCTTTAACATCCTGTTTTAAGATCTGTTTTTTCTTTTTCCAACCAAAAAAAAAGAGAAAAAGAGACCCAGCTAAATAAAATGTAAATGACATTTTTTAATCCTACCAGATGTGGGAGTTGAACTCCAATGGAACCTTGGTGAACAGTTATTCTGGGCTATGTGCAACAATAAATTCTGTTGAAGGTAAGAAATTAGAATCTGAGTGTGCCCCTTTTGTAGATTGATTCTTTAGTGAATCTTGAAATTATGATTTATATCATGGTTTTAACTTTGAAGTTGATCACCTGTTCAGCTCAAGCCAATTCTCAAGGAGTTCGCTCCTGGATTGCAACTGGACAAAAAGGTTTTTCCTCGATTCCCTCAACTCTCTCTTCTTTATCTTTTCAATGTAAGTTCAGATTTCTCAATACTACTTCTGTTTCTGCAATTACAGGACAAATATATGTTGCCTTTTTCAATCTGAACGATGGTTGGGCTACCATAACTGCACAAAAATCAGACTTGGCCAAGGAACTTCCTGGTACAAAATTGAGTAGAGGTTCCTGCAAAGGCACAGAAGCATGGAGCGGACAAGACCTAGGGATTATAGGCCAGACGATTTCATTTTCGGTCATACCGCACGGGGCTGCAGTAATTGTCCTGCAGTGCACTTAGAGTGCAGTCTGTATAAACCAAAGCATTTTCGGGCTGTAGTTCTGCTTATTGTCCTTCATCTCCTTTCTTTTTTCTACTAGTAAAAGGGAAAAGGGGGTGGCTCATGCTGTAACGTGTGTGATATGTAGTCCTCAAGGAAGGTAAAAGGTCCTGCAATGATATTTCTGTTACATAGCCTACGTCAGCAATTTAGCAATTTTAATAAGCCTACGTCAGCAATTTTGACTGGATTGTGAGGGAGGGGATTAACTTAAAATGGAATTGTATAGTCCAAAAAAAGCCCCGGACTTGATTGTCTAATATGGCGAGGCCGAAATGTGGTTCGCAAAATGGCGAGCGCGCTATTTTGAACACGCGAGTCCGACCCTTGGCTTGAATCAAAACCCCACCACCAGAGACCCAATCAAAACTTGCAGATGAGTCTCTCAATTAACTCTAGTTGCCGCTCCTAGTTGGCTTGGGCTAGTCAAAAGGCAGATTGATATATAGACATAAACTCAGGAAACCAACAAAACCAAAAAGTTCCATATCCAATAATATGATAAAACCATTGGCCAAATTGAAAGGGAAGGAAGAAGAGCTTTCCTGGTGGCGTTCAAGACACACAGAAAGAGATCAAATCAATGAGTTGGCTCTGTCATCTAGCAAGTCTCTGTCAATAAAGACCTCCAACAGTAGAAAGGGATAGGGAAGCACATCTAGCTAGCCCAAAGGCCCGTTGACATTGAATGACCCTAAATCAAAACTAGGGAGGCCAGGGAAGCAAGGTTCCTTATTTTTTTTCTGAGGCAGGGAGATTAAGGTTTTGGGTTAGTCTGGAGAAATAGGGTTGTTTCGAGAGATAAAGGAAAAAAATTTTTTTTTTTTTTTTTTTTTTTTTTTTTTTAGAGTGGGAAAAGAAAGGTAAATAGGAGCTTTGGAGACAGAAGAAAAAAAATGTTTTTGAATGAAAGAGGAAGAAAAAAAGAAGAAGAAAACGATAACACATAGCAAAAAGCATTACGGCGTCTATCTTAATGTTTAATGTCGGTTATTAAAAAAAAAATTCTTAACTCAAAGTTTGATGATGTATCATGTATTTGAGAGTTAGATTATTAGATTCAACAAAATACGAGATAAATACACGGCATTTAAATACAAAGGCTCAGAATCCAACTCGAATGGGGCAGAGATAATCATGAATTGGTAGTGGATGAACAAAGGTTAAAGCATGATATATAATTAAAGGAAGAAAGATGGGGTTGTGCCACCATTTCCCATCTTTCTTTGAGCAATATTTATTTATTCTCCTAATTGATTCTGCTACGTAAGCACACAAGTCACAAGGCTGTAAAATTAGTTTCTTTTTTAGTGTGCTAGGCTGCTAGATAAAATAGTAATTGAAAATGGTGCATGAAATGAACTAACTAGTATTATTAACCCACCGTGACCATGACTATTTTCTCTGAATCTCTGATTTGGTCAACACCAATACAGAACGGTTATTTATCTGAAATTATAAAGAATAGAATTTAGAATTTAGAATAAGTTTATCTCAAAATTCGAGAATCATAATAATTACAATATTCATTTTAAATAAGTAAATATGTCATGAATAATACATAATAATTTTTGCTATTTCCGCTTCTGTTTCTTCGTTGAAAAATAAACATTAGATTGTGTGTGACATTATATATGATATTTTTTGGGTGACGACTTTTGTTTAACGTTCTCTCTTTTTCTTCTCCATTGCCTAAAATTGAAAGTCCAATCTTTGACTCATGCTTGACATTTTTGGCATGTTGGTTATTTCAATTGCAAGTTTTCAACCACACAATCGACGTTAATGATCAATGATTGAGAAAGACGATGTTGAATTTGAGAGAAATTATTATATAGTATTGGAATATAATTATGTTATATAATTAATTCATATGTATTAATATAAGCAGACCATATGGTTAATATTTCACACTTTTAAGATAAAATATGATCATGTGACATGTCGCGAGTGAATCAAAGAGTTTGAAATGCCGCCAAACGGAAGGAACAAACGTTTCACTTGTATTTTTATTTTATTTTTTTATAAATAAAAGTCGACTTTTGTTTTTAGGTAATAAAAATAAATGAGGAGGAGGCCCAAATAATCAACAAAGTAAATCCAATTAAAAATAATAATAATAATTGTAAGATACGGGAGACTTCAACCTTATAAATATTTGGCGCCTCCTCTCGACTCTCGTCTTTCTCTTCAGGCAGAAGCTTCTTCTATTTTTATTTTTCTTCTGTTTGAAACTTCTGCGGCAGACAAGGAGGGAGGACGGTGCGCAATTTAAGGATCTCCAATTTAGTTGCTCGATATACCTCACCTTAACTACGTCCACGCTCCTCTCTCTCCCTCTCTCTGTCTCTGACATTTCCAGGCCTTTCTTTTCCACTTTCCTTCACTTTCTCTCCATCCAAACCATGAACTCCACCACAATACCAACAACACTTGTTTATTTCTCTCCCCCTCCTGCCGCCTTCACTGAATCGTCATCAAAACGCCAAGCTCACAACCCTAGACACGTCCAATTGAAACTCGACAAACGACAAAACGGCAGGAATTTCTTATCAAAATCCATAAAATGCACCCAGAATCGCGGTATTCGAAACCCGACCGCGCTGGCTTCTTGCTTGGCCGCGACGGAGGCTCCGCCTTCGAAGGTCGCCGAGCTGGTGGCGGACAAGCTAAAACGACTCGTTTTGGAATTTAGGTCTCTGGCCGAGCCGATAGACCGCGTGAAGCGGCTATTACACTACGCGGCGGGACTGCCTCCGTACAACGAGTCGACTCGGAAGCCGGAGAGCCGAGTCCCGGGCTGCTCGACTCAGGTCTGGGTCGAGGCCGAGATGGACGAGTTGGGGAGGATGAGGTTCCGAGCCGACAGCGACTCGGAGATCTCTAAGGGGTTCTGCTCGTGCCTGATTTGGATGCTGGACGGCGCGGAGGCGGCGGAGGTTTTGGAGGTCAAGACGCGAGATTTGGAGGACGTGAATGTGGGAGTGTACGGAAAGGTGAATTCGAGAGTGAACACGTGGCACAACGTGTTGTTGGCGATGCAGAGAAAGACTCAAGCTTTGGTTACGGAGCGAGAGGGGAAGCGGCCGTTGGAGGCTTTGCCTTCTCTGCTTGCGTCCACCAATGAGGTTAGCGGTTAAAGCCATTTTCACTATTTTCTTCTTTTCTTTATGCTAGTCTACCAGAACTTGAAGAGAATGGAATTGGACAAATCTGGCCCTATTTCCCAATAGAAATCAATTGTTTTGCCACTTGGTTATTTTTCTGGGCTCATCAAGATTTTGAGCTAAAATTATGAAGGGTGCTTCAGTATCTCCAGAGTTGTGGACTAATGATTGTTATTCCAAAAGAAGGAAAAAAAAAACATATTGATTATATAGTGGGACCCGCGGGGAAGTGGGTTTTAAAAATAGGGGAATATGTATGGTACTTGTAGGAATCAGTTTAGTGGAATAATGCTTGTTGTTCCAAAGAAGAAAATTACATGTAAGTACAGATGTATTATTTTTGTATATTATGTGTGCAAAATTGTTTGTGTAATACTCAGGATCCAACCAGTTGTGTGGAAATATGGGTACTTGAAATTGTGAAATGGATGTTTTCTTCTGGCCTTGAGTCTCTCTGGGTAGATTGTTCTTTTAAGTAATCTGTCAGGAAAGTTTAAAAATATCAATATTGTCAAGAACATTAAAGGATATGGTAAGATTGTGTGCGATAAGAAACGTGAAATTAGCTGGTCAGCCAGCAAAAGCAGAGTCAAGCTTCTAACTTGTCAAGCGGCGGATAGATAGGTGCATTGCTAACATAACACGTAATGTTTCTGAAATTTCTCCATCTATCATTGTGCCTTGTTTCTTTTGATATCTGTTATTAGTAGAAGATGAAAGTGAGCTCTGCGATTTTATAATGCTGTGCCTGTAGCAGCCTTTCTGCGCATATTTACTTGAAATCAAATTCCCTTCAAGTACCATAACTATTCAGCACCAATTTTTCCACCCTTGATCACATCAATAAATCCAATAGTCCTATGAAAGCCCCCTATTCTCTCTCTTCTCCACCAAGAACAATCCTAAGAAAGACAGGACAGACAAAGCAGAGAAACAATTCCAGGGACGCATGACGTCCACTGATAGCTTGGATTTCAAACAGGTTGCCCAGTTTCTCCACATCTGTGGTCTGGCCAAAGCCACCTCTTCGCTGACGGAGTTATAAGCATAGACTCTAACAAAGTAAGTTGCTGTACAGGTACATCATTTTCGATCCTCCAATCGAAGCTCTGACTGCTTGTAGAAGCATCATAGTTTCTATTAACAATGGTGAATTCTCAGGTCCTGTTCTTGTCGAGAGGAAGCAGTGACCACCAGATTCCGGAGGGAGGACAACAGCACAGCTCCACAGCAAGTTCTAGGGAAGCACAAGGCTAGGAGAGTCCCATTGGTGCTGGAGTTTTCTAAAGATTGCATCCACGACGACGAAGCCCAACCTTTCTTTTCTTTTTTCTGTTTGGCTATGGATTTCTAAACCAAACAGTTAAAATGGTTGGTTGGTCAGGTCAGGATCCACAGAAGTTGGCCTTAGCCCTTAGGAAGGCTGCATGGAAAATCCAAGCTTGATTTGCAACTAGTATGCTTTGTGTGCTTGAAAGAGAGAGAAGGATTGAAGATGTCTTTTGCAGCATCCAATCAAAAAAGGTAGAGTTTCCACAAAACCGCAGCAAATTCTTTTGGTATCTCAACCAAACCCAATCGAAATCAGTTAGCATGGTACAAAGGGGCATTTGATGAAGTTGAATATTGAGGCACATTCCATTCGTTCCAAAATTTAGGGGTGTTTTGATATTTGTCCTTTTTTATAATAAAAAAATTATTTTTAAATTCCCTTTCTTTTCTTCATTACAAGAGCACAAGAAGAAAACATGAATCTCCCACTTGAAAAGCAATCAATTCACAAACAAAAGTACCTTTACACTTTGCTTTCCATGGCACAGATGGGATTCGGCCAAACCAATCAAACATGAAAAGATCGCATTGAAACACAAGTATTTTCTTTTTTAAAGTACCGACTTACGAAACTTAGCTCAGTTGATGAGCAAAAGAAAGTGTGCCGCTTACGAAATTTAGCTTCCTGCAAAAAAGAAAAAAGAAAATATGAATTTAAAGAGTATCTCAACCGTCAACTACCAAGAAGTCAAAAAGCAGCGGGTTGCTCAAGGAGGGCCACACCACAAACTCAGCAACTCTCGCACACACCCCAACACTCCAACTTGCCAGAGGGCCCACAACTCCCATAAAATCAACGGCTCAAGTTAGCTTGCTTCACCAACGCTCCCAATCAAAACCATCTGAAAACACCCCACGTAGCTGATTGCACTTTGTTTTTCTTCTGGCTCAACTCGCCACACCCACAAACAAAATCACAAGAAAAAAAACACAACAATAAAACATTTAAAACACTCTTACATCCCACACACACGCGCACATTCCTTCTCTCAAGCCAACTGTTGCCCTTCCCTCTTCTTCGCATGTTCTCGGAGCTCCGGCTCCATTAACGGAGCCCCAGCTCACAGCTCACATCCTTTTCTTTTTCAAAAAAACTAAAAAAATTATAACTACTCTTTTTTCGCCTTCGTTTCTATTTTTTATTTCAAACATTTCTGGTCATATTTTCTCTTCATTTCCAACTGCGTTCTCAGATCTCGCAAACCGTCGATGATGGACAAACCCTGGGGTGGTATCGGCGCATGGGCCGCCGACTCTGAGCGAGCCGAAGCGGAGGAGCTCGCGGAGGCTGCCCAAGCTGAGTCCCAGAGCTTCCCGAGCCTCAAGGAAGCCGCGAACGCAAAGCCCAAGAAGAAGAAGATGAGCCTCTCCGAGTTCAACATGGGGGGCTCTTTCTCCGCCTCCAGGCCCGCCGCCTCAAGTCGGGTCGGGCTCACTCCTGAAGAGATGATGCGCCTCCCTACCGGCCCCAAAGAGCGCTCTGCGGACGAAATGCAGTATGGTCGCCTCGGCGGTGGGTTTTCCTCGTACGGCCGCTCCGGTTCGAATCCGGGTCGGGGAAGGGACCGTGACGACGCGGAAGGGTCGTGGGGCGGTGGTGGCAGAAGATCCTACGGTGAATTCGACGACGACCGAAGGGCTCCCTCTTCTAGGGTTTCGGATTTCGATCAACCGTCGAGGGCAGACGAGGTTGACAATTGGGCATTGACCAAGAAGTCTCTTCCTTCTGCAGATTCAGGTCGGCAGAACCGGTATAGCTCGCTCGGTGGCGGTGGCGGTGGTGGTGGTGGGGGCGGTGGCAGTGGAGGTGCCGGTGGCGGTGTGGGTGTTGGCGGACCTTGGTCTAGGGCAGACGAGGTTGATAACTGGGCTGTTGGGAAGAAGCCTGCTCCTGCAAGATCATCCACATTTGGGTCTGGATTTCGCGATTCGGGGCCGGAGCCCGATCGCTGGGCGAGAGGCGGACGCGAGGTGGACAGCGTTGAGAGAGAGCGACCCAGATTGGTTTTGGATCCTCCAAAAGGCGAGTTGGGCGTGAATGAGTCAGTGCAGGTTGTGAAGACCAATAAGCCCAGTCCGTTCGGGGCAGCTCGACCTAGAGAGGAGATTTTGGCCGAGAAGGGGTTGGATTGGAAGAAGCTGGACTCGGAAATTGACGCCAAGAAGACGAGTCGGCCAACGAGTGCGCACTCAAGCAGGCCTTCCAGTGCTCAGTCAAGCCGGTCTGAAGGTCCTGGGCTGCATGGGAGTGAGAATGTGGTGAAGCCGCGGCCCAAAGTGAACCCATTTGGTGATGCCAAGCCAAGGGAAGTTTTGCTGGAGGAGCGAGGTAAAGATTGGCGGAAGATTGATCTCGAGTTGGAGCATCTCAGTGTTGACAGGTCCGTTTTGCATACCTTTTAATCTGCTTGTTTGCCAATTATATTCAGCAGTAATGGTTTGCATTTGTCTGGTGGCTTGATCCTTATTTTCCTATTAAGAGTTGCCCAAGTGGTCATGCTTAGTATTTACTCATCTGTAATTTAGCGGAAATTATTTGTCTAATCTATGATTTCTTAAGTGTAATGGGGAACCTATCCGGTGATTAGTGCTTTGCTAACACTAAAAGAGAAAATGTTATATGATATCATAAAGACTGTTCCAATCATGCCCCATGGGATTTTAAAATCTGATTTTTGAATGTCAAGCTCTATCTTTGTGCTCATTGGTCAAGGATGCATTCAATATGTTGGTTTGCTATAGTAAGTGATATTCTTTTCTTCGTAGTGCTTTGAGACATATTTTTCTCTATGTTCGACTTCATTTGCTACTTTGTATGGCTTTTTTCATTTTGTTATTGTTTTTTTTATAGTCCCGTCTCACTTGCCATAAGCTGTCTTACTAGTTAATAATTGGGAGAATACTGCTGGAATTATTCCCAACAACTACAAGTGCATGCAAAGAATTGGTTAGTACTGTTTGCCCACTTTGGGTCATGTATATTGAGTTTATGTTTTGAATGAAAAGGGTATATCGAAATAATTAGATTAGTGTACAATTGAAACAATTAGATTATGTTTGGGTTAGTACCTCCTCTTTTGGCACATACATAAGGCTACATTTTTGTCCTATAACGTGTTTGTGTGTCCCCTCTGTGGTGGAGTAGATATCCATTCCAGACAACTATGCAGAGAGTATGTATGCCTTTTGACTTCTTATCTCATTGTAATTGTTTAATTGGGGTTGTCTGGATGTTATGCTGATACAGCCTGGTTTCTTTTTCTTTGGTGAATGAGTTTCATATTGTCTCAAGATATTTGTGAGTTCACTTATTTAATATTCAAAGTTGATAATGATGGACACATCATCAACTCATGTATTTGTTTGACTTATCTAAGGCCAACTTATTGGCATGTTGGTGTGAAAAAATAAGTGTGTTTCTGGAGAGTGGTTTTTCTAGTACTAAAGATGTGGAAAAGTTCAAGTGGCAGGTCTATGAATTACCTTTATCCAAGTATGTTGATTGGATTACCTTTTCCAGTAGCATGTAATTTAGCATTGCAAAATGTTCGTGGCATATGAAGCCTGACCAATAAACTCAAGTAATTTGTCTCCTAAGCAGTAGGCAAACTATTTATTTTCAATTTTCTTTGGTTTCTAAATTTGGTGGTGCTTATATGTGACCCTGTGTTTGTCCTATGGAAGCTTTGTTTTTATCTCTTAGCCGTTTGTGCAGACCCGAAACGGAAGAGGAAAGGAAATTAAAGGAAGAAATTGATCATCTAAAGAAGGAACTTGAGAAAGAATCTCCAGATAAAACGAACAGTGAAACTGGCCAAGAGTCTGGTGGTGACCAGGCAAGTCTACGTGATATAGTACTTCAGAAGGAAAGGGAATTGGAGACACTGATCCACGATTTGGATGACAAAGTTCGCTTTGGTCAGAAGGCCATCGATAGACCTGGGTCTGGGGCAGGCAGGCCTGGGTCTGGGGCGGGCAGGCCTGGGTCTGGGGCAGGCAGGCCTGGGTCTGGAGCAGGCAGGGCTGGTAGCTTTCTTGACAGGACACCTTCTCAATCTGGGTCATTTGAAGATTCTAGAAGTACTGAATTCATCGATAGGCCTCACTCACATGGCAAAGGAGATGCGTGGACAAGGCCTTTTGATGACAGAAGGTCATTTCAAGGTGGCAGGGAAAGAGGATTTCTGGGGAACAGAGACATGGGCAGGTGAGGATAATGTGTTCTTCTTCTCTTTCCTTTTTACAGTCATAGGGAGGAAGTTAACCTGTTTAAGGAAGAAACTTGATCTGTTATGCTTTGCAATGTATGTATTCTCCACTAGTTTACCTTAAATTTTTCCCTTCGAAGTTGGCATATTATGGTACTTTTGGAACTAAAGTTTGGTTGTGAATGCCTGAATGCCTCAAAATGCATATGATGTATTGGCTCTTGTTGTTTGGCAGGGCAAGGTCAAGAGAAAGATGGTGAGAAACTCTGCTGTTTCTATGGATTCATTGAATTGCCTTCCACTTTTGACAACCAGAACCAAATAATATTTTGCCCCACTCTTTTTGTTTTCTTCATTTTGCTCTGGGAAATGGAGCAAGCATTATTGATTACCGGCACTAGGAACTCTTGCCTTGATCTATTGTTACATCTTGAAACTATGTAAAATTGCAAATTACTTTTCTTTTCTTTCTTTCTTTTGTCTGTTTCATATGAAGGAGCCTTGTATTGCTCTTAGGATCCACATTTACTGAAACACTATGGGACTCATTAGTCTATTTTTGTGACAATTGTCTGGGTGTTATACAGATAATTTGGTTCTATTGTGCATGATGCTCTCTCTCTCTCTCTCTCTCTCTCTCTCTCTCTCTCTCTGGAATGTAGCAGAAAATTTACGCAAATGAATCGACTTTTGCCAATAGGCTATAACAAATCCAAGTTTACTAGGTCAAATCCTGATTAATAGGTGGTACCAAGCCAATCCCACAACTTGAAATGAGCAGAATGAGAAAAAATCTGCATTTGTGTCAATCTCATAAGCATAACCTCTTTCAATGACATCGAGGTTTCCCGATTGGTGGGAAGAAACATACTTGTTCGCTTGGTGGGTTTGAATAAATTCAAACAACCCATGTGGCGCAGTCTAAATCATTGGATCTTTCCCAATCCTTTTGCGGCTCCCCCCAATTCCGACGCTGGTTTTCTACGTTGTTTATGTTACGTGGAAGACCAGATCCAAGTGAAACCCAATCATGTTTATGATGATGATGATGATGATGACACCACAATGCCTTTGTTTTTTTTTAATTTCTTATGGTTCATTCGTCAAATTCTGCTAGCAGCCCAGTTGACCTAAAATATATAACTTGTAAGGCTCCTCTCCTCTACCGATTTATAAAGCCTAAAACCAGCTTCTTTTCTTCCACTAATTAACCACAAAGAGAAGTACAACTTCTGCAGAAACCACCATCACCTATTGATCAAGGTATAGTTTCAGCCCCATCTTTTTTCCTTGTGAATGATATGAAGAATGCTACTATTTTTTCCTTGTGATGATTCTTCTTATCTTATGGAACTTCTAATTGATATGGTTCACATCACATTATATGATAAATCTCTTCGTCTGAGAGAAGCAGAAAGAGGTTCATATGGACCGTGTGAGGTTTATTACTATCAGTAGATGGTGGAGAGGGCCCTGGGGACTGAAGAAGAGTGTTGAAGCAGTGGCAGTTGGAGTTGTTTTAGTTGGTGCTCTTTCAATCTTCTTGGGCCTTGGAACACAAGATAAATCAAGTAGTGCTTGTCAATTTCCAGCAATCTACAACTTTGGTGATTCAAATTCCGACACGGGTGGTTTGTCAGCTACATTTTTTCGGCTTCCTACGCCCTATGGCAATACCTTCTTTGGTAAACCTGTAGGCAGGTTCTCAGATGGGCGTCTCATCATCGATTTTATAGGTTAGAACATGGACTGTTGTGATGGATTGGATGCTCTTCTGTATCTCCTGTATGCAATTTTCTTTCAGTGCCTAGTTACTTAGAGGTTGGAACATCTTTTTAATGCAGGATTTTACTGTCTTATGTGCTCATTCTGTATCTCCTGTATGCAATTTTCTTTCAGTGCCTTACTTAGAGGTTGGAACATCTTTTTAATGCAGGATTTTACTGTCTTATGTGCTCATTTTGTTCCTCACCATGCTTTGTAATTATTATTGTACCAAAGCATAATGTACAATATGTGAATATGTCTAGTTGCCTTCGTTTAAGCTACTTATGAACTTCTTTTGCCAATCTTGCAGCTCATAAGTTGGGTCTCCCATTTCTTAGTGCTTATCTGGATTCTCTCGGATCAAATTTCCATCATGGAGCAAGTTTCGCAACTGGAGGATCTACAATTCAGCCCTTAGATGGCAGGATGTTTGAAGCAAGATATAGCCCCATCTCTCTTAACCTACAGCTTTCACAATTTGCGCAGTTCAAAGCACGTGTAAATGAGGTTTTCACTGAAGGTTAGACTATATGTTTGCTGAAGAAGAGTTATAGAGGAAATTACTTGAACCATTAATTCATTATGTTGCACTCCATTATGGATTGGTTTTCAGATAAAAGGACCAGCCTCCCAAGACCAAGTGATTTCTCCAAGGCCTTGTACACATTAGACATTGGACAAAACGATCTTCATGCTGGATTAAGGTTGAAGACTATGGACGAAGTGCTGGCATCGATTTCCATTATCACTGGGCAGTTAGCTTTGACAATAGAGGTAATGATTAGCAGCTGTCCTTTCTTCTTGAGCTGCAATAGGTCTTGGCAACCAAAATGTAACACGACCATCTTAAAATTCATATTTTCAGCCGTACAAAGTCTTCATTTTTTTTTCTTTTTAATTGTTTGACTTATAACCTGTAATCTATGAGTAGAAAATTGGTAACCATGAAAACAGGAACAATTTCTCTAGTTTCTTTTCGACATAGTTGTCGCATGAAATGCCTAACGTGTTGTGTTAAAAAAATTGATGTCTTGTCAATGAATTGCATAATAAATCTGTTTTGAACTTTGAACTGTCCTTGCAAGATTATATTCTCAAACAAAATAATGATATTGTAGTTTTGCAGCAACTATACCAAGAAGGAGCAAGAGTTTTTTGGATTCACAACACAGGTCCCCTTGGCTGCTTGCCTTCAACCCTTGCATATAAACTGCCAAAACCTGGCGACCTAGACCAAAACGGTTGCTGGAAGCCTCACAATGAGGTGGCTGAAGAATTTAACAGACAGCTCAAGGATAGGGTGTTTAAACTAAGGGCCCAACTTTCAGAGGCAGTTCTTACTTATGTCGATCTCTATACCGCAAGGTACACACTCATCAGCGAAGCAGAGAAGCATGGTAAGTTTCTTCCAGTTCATGCCTTTAGCTAGTGTTCCTATGCTTCATTCTTTGGCCTGTCCAAAACCCTTTCTTTCCTGGTGTGTGGAATGTGCAGGTTTTACTAGTCCTCTAGCTCAATGCTGTGGAAGTTATGGTGATTCCGTCGTCCATTGTGGGATAAAAACTGTTGTTAATGGCACTGAAGTTGAGGCCCTTTGTAGCAATCCTTCAAAGTACATCAGTTGGGATGGGGTGCACTATTCTGATGCTGCAAACCAATGGCTAGCCGACCGACTTATGGCCGGCGCATTTTCAGACCCTTCAGTTTCAATCACTGAAGCATGCCACAAGTCTCCGCACTTTTGATTTTACTTCCAAGTACATAACTCTCTTTTATAGATTTGGTATATGTTATGTGGAATGTTTGTACAAATTTCCTCACGAGGATATTCGTCTAAGATTCCTTCGTCTTCTCCACTTCTCTTTCTCCCTGCAAAACAGATCGGGGTAAAAGGACCACACCCGGGGGGTGTTGGCCAAAGGCCCTCCGATGCCTAAGTTAGGTAGGGTATTTCAAGGAAAACCGGGTGGCCGGAGCCGTGTGTGGTGGCCGGAGCCTTGTGTCAGAGAGAGAAAGAAAGTGGTGGCTAGGGTTTGTGAGAAATAATTTCTGCAGAGTTTCAGTAGGAATTTAGACGTACCTTGACCTTTGTGCGTAGCCAACTATTTATAATGGTCTCGGAGATTAGGGTTTCAGAGGAATAATTCCGTAGTTGGTAAGGAATTATTCCTCCCTGATTTGGCATTGATTTAATTAATTAGGGATTTGATTTATTTGGGTAAATCAAATCCCTAATCGTGGTAGGTATCAGATCAAATCCCAATCTAATTAGGTAACTCCTCATTTAATTGGGAATTGGGGTAGGAATCAAATCAATTCCCAACTTAATTAGGTAATTCTCAATTTAATTGGGTAACTCCCAATTAAATTGAGTAACTCCCAATTAGGTTGAGTAATTCCCAATTAGGTCAAATAATCCCCAAATGGAAGGAATTATTTGACCTAGGGTTTTGATTTAATTGGTTCCCACAAATGCCCCCCAGCTTCTGCATGGCGTGTGGTGGCATGTAGGAGATGTGAATTGTTTGTTGGGCTTTCCAGCTGTAACTGGACTTCCTTCTTTAATTTGGGCTCCTGCGTGGAGGAGGCTTTTTACTTGCTAATTTCCTGAACACCTGACTGGAAAGTGTTTGAGATTCCTTGTAGGTCAAGGAATTTTGATCCTTATAAATATAGGGCTCCCTCAAACTATTTTCACATCACAATCTGATCCTCCAATTTCGTCAGTGAGAGAGAAAACTTTAGAAAATTGCTTCAGCTGGCTTTGTTCTCGTCACACACCCAAGGTAATTTGTCTTGGGCAGCATATACATTTTTCCTTTTGTTCTGACTTTTGGCTGCAAGGAGGTGGCCCGTGCCTTGTGATTGGACTGGGGTATGATGGGAGGTCTGGCAGGCTGGCAGGATCAGGCCTTGCACTTGTTGGGCTCGAAACAGGGGCATGGAGGCGCTGGACCAAGAGCTGGAGCAAGGGGGAATTGGGCCATCGCGCGACATGGGCTTGCGCTAGGCAAGCTGGCCACGTGCTCCAGTTTGGGGCGGTCTGGCGCATCACCTGGGCCTCGCTGGGCGCTCGAGCTGGGCTGGAATTCGCGCTGGGCTGGAGGCGCGAGATGGGCTGCGCGCGCTGGGCAGTTCATGCTGGGCTGCTTCCTTCTTTTTTTTTTTTTTTTTTTGTTGCTGTTTTTTCTTTTCTGATTTTTTTTTGTTTTTGAGCTAGGGATTTTAACCTGCAATTTCCTTTGTTATTCTTTGCAGCCACTCAACGACCATGTCTTCTGAAAGAAGGAGCCGATCACCAAGCTCGCAAGTACCCTTGTACCTATGGGGTGGCTCTCAAGTTCCCAAAGAGAAGTTTGTGGCCAATCTGCACCGTGTCACCACCGAGGCCCAGTTCAAAACATGGCGTGCCCTTTTCAATTTCGCCATTCCCAAGGACGTACATGTCAAGTTAGCAGAGCCCTCATCCGACAGCGTACCACGGGTGGATTCGAACAATCCAGGTGCCAGGATCATCACGTTCCGCCCCTTCTACTTCTCGCTAGGCTTCACGTTTCCGATGTCGAAATTTTTCAGGGATGTGCTTTGCGCCATGGAGTGTGCCCCGAGCCAGTGTACTCCAAACGTTTATCGAGCGGTCATCTGCTTTGAAAATTTGAGTCACTTCTTCAAGCTAGATTTGACAGTGCAGGAATTCTTCTATTTCTTCGAGGTGAGACGCTTCGAGAAGTATGCCCAACTTCGTGCGCGCAAACCCAAGTTGTTTGATAGTTTAAGTCAAGGCGATCATGTGTGGAGCAAGGATGTGCTGGAGGTCAGTGGCAGATGGGAAGGGGAGGTTGGCGACGGTCCGCTCGTTCCTCTCACCTACTGTGACGGTAAGTTGCATCCCTTTGGTCTGCTCTGTTTGTTGAGGGATTTTTCATGTCGTGTGTCTGACCAACTTTTGTCTTCTGCTTGCAGATGATGCCATCCGAAAGAAGCTCGTCCTCGACCCAGACATGATGAAGGTTCGGCAGGCTTTGAGCATCCCTGCCAAGTTTCGTGAATGGCGCTGGTTGTTGAGCGAACATCGGAAGAAAGTCGGTGGCCTGCCCCCTGCTGAAGATATTGAAAGATGGAAGTCGCACTGCCTGAAGCTAAGTGACTTGCCAGTTGAGCAGGATGAGTCATCGACCGAGTCCCCCGAGGATAGAAAGGCGTGCAGTGGACCTGCCCGTGACGGAGCTGCAGTTTCTCGATCAATGGATACGTCCCTGCAGCGGGGGCAGCCGAGATCTTCTCTTGCCACGAACAAGTCTTCCTCACAGGAGGCCTCGTCTGCCGGGATCAAACGCCTCGTCAGCGCGAACAGCAGGAAGGCCAACGGCATGCAGGAAGTTCGGGATATGTTGTTCAAGTCGCCAACCGTATTGCCCAAAACTTGTGATCTGCCCTGTAAGGAGGCCGTTGAGAAGCAAGGTTCGGGGCGTCTGCGCCGGTCTGGGGACCAAACTGAGAGGACTGTACCTCTGCCCAGCCACCATGACTCGTCTGCAGGACCACGAACAATCAAGCGCGGAGCTGACTCGATGTTGCAAGCTGCAAGCAAGAAAGCTAAAGAGTCGTCTGCTCGAGCAAAGAGTCCTCCAGTCGCGCGAACTGCTGGTTTGGGGATTGGTGATAACTCTGTTGGGGGTGAGCCTGTGTCTGATCTGCTGAAAACGGGCTTTCTATCAAGTCCATCTGCTTGTGCTAAGCTAGCTGACCATGTGTATCGAGCTGCTGATCTTTGTGCCTTCTCGAGCCTTCCCTTGGGTAAACAAGAAGAAGCTGCCCTGTATCATCTTCAAAAAGGGATGGTTTTTGCTGTTGGGGCTATGCAGAACTCGCATGATGTTGCCCCCTCTTCTGCCCTGCTTGACGAGCTGGTGAAGAAGAATGCTGACCTGACTGACAAGCTCTCGAACGAGCGGATTCGCCATGACGCGAGGATTTCCGAGATGAAGGAGAGTATGTCCGCACTTAAGAGTTCTGTTGGCCAAAAAGATGACGAAGTCAAGTCTCTTATGGCTACCCTGCTCGAACGCAAGGAAGCCTACTTTAGCCTCGAACGCAAGCATGCTGCTCTGGCCCAAGATCGTGATAGGCTGCTGGTCAAGTTTGACAACCATGTGGAAGCCACGGAGGTGTCCAAACATGAGATTGCTGCTAATGCGTACAAGCTGGGATACTTGGACTGCCAGAACGGCGCTCCTCCTTGCTGTCCTCTCGAAGATGACGATGATGAGCAGTCCAGTCTTGATCTGCCCCCTGCTCACAGTAAGCAGATCAATGTTGTGGATGCAGAGGCAGTTGAAGAGCAGGTAGCAGATGAAGCCGCAACGGAGGAAGACAAGCTCCAAGGCGGGTCAGCTGAGGTGGGTAAGGATCAAGCGGCCAAGGCAGTTGAGTAGGTGGCGATGGTTAAGCAGAGTGAGGCCGTTGCCAGCGCAGCTAAGGATGTGATCGGCTAAGGGTCACCTGCTGAAGTCCCCTAGTAGATGTAGTTCATTTTTGCTATTTTTGAACTTTGTAATTTTCTTTCAATAAGTGGTCTTTGGTTGACCGCCCTTTTGTTTGTTGAATTTGGCTGGTTGGCCGCTTTGCTATGAAATTTTCAGTTATCTTTCAAACTTCAATTCTCATTATATCTTGTAAGTGTACGTCCGGAGACATAGCACTTGAAAGAGATTCCCCTGAGTTTGTACTCGTGAAGTAGCTTGCCCACAATGGAGGTAAGGCTTGTCGCCTATGAGCGTATGTCGGGGACACAATGCTCGAAATAAAAAGATTCCATTGAGTTTGTGCTTCGCGAAGCAGCTTGTCTGCAATGGAGATGAGGCTTGTCGCCTACGAGCGTATGTCAGGGACACAACGCTCGAAAAAGACTCCATTGAGTTTGTGCTTCGTGAAGCAGCCTGTCTGCAATGGAGATTAGGCTTGTCGCCTGCGAGCGTATGTCAGGGACACAATGCTCGAAAAAGACTCCATTGAGTTTGTGCTTCGTGAAGCAGCCTGTCTGCAATGGAGATGAGGCTTGTCGCCTACGAGCGTATGTCAGGGACACAACGCTCGAAAAAGACTCCATTGAGTTTGTGCTTCGTGAAGCAGCCTGTCTGCAATGGAGATTAGGCTTGTCGCCTGCGAGCGTATGTCAGGGACACAATGCTCGAAAAAGACTCCATTGAGTTTGTGCTTCGGGAAGCAGCTTGTCTACAATGGAGATTAGGCTTGTCGCCTGCGAGCGTATGTCAGGGACAAAATGCTCGAAAAAGACTCCATTGAGTTTGTGCTTCGGGAAGCAGCCTGTCTACAATGGAGATTAGGCTTGTCGCCTGCGAGCGCATGTCAGGGACAAAATGCTCGAAAAAGACTCCATTGAGTTTGTGCTTCGGGAAGCAGCCTGTCTACAATGGAGATTAGGCTTGTCGCCTGCGAGCGCATGTCAGGAACAAAATGCTCGAAAAAGACTCCATTGAGTTTGTGCTTCGGGAAGCAGCCTGTCTACAATGGAGATTAGGCTTGTCGCCTGCGAGCGCATGTCAGGGACAAAATGCTCGAAAAAGACTCCATTGAGTTTGTGCTTCGGGAAGCAGCCTGTCTACAATGGAGATTAGGCTTGTCGCCTGCGAGCGCATGTCAGGGACAAAATGCTCGAAAAAGACTCCATTGAGTTTGTGCTTCGTGAAGCAGCCTGTCTGCAATGGAGATGGGGCTTGCTGCCGCCATGTGTATGTTCGTAAGACATAATGCTCAGAAAAGTATTTCATTGAAAAGCTTGCTCTTGTATTGATGTTGGTGTGAATACATCGCTTTATTGAATAAAGGAAATTAACAACAAAGGTAACATCAAAAGTAGTTTGTCTTTAATGGAAGTACAGGAGGCTCGTCGCCTGCTAGCAGCCAAGTTGGTAAGCGAGGAGTTTCATGGATAGTATCTTCGAAGGTGGTGGGCATTCCATTGTCTTGGAATTTCTTTTCCTTCTAGAGTATCAAGGGTGTAACTTCCTCTGCCCCCAGATCGGCTGATCACGTAGGGGCCTTCCCAGTTTGGCTTCATTTTCTTTGACCCTTGCCTTGGTGCTGTGATGAAAGTTTTTCTAAGCACAAGGTCTCCAGGCTGAAACTGTCTTATCTTAGCCTTCTTATTGTAGTAGGACGTCAACTGCTGTTGGTAGGCGGCAACTCGAACAATAGCCTTTTCTCGTTCTTCTTCAAGCAGATCAAGGTTGACTTTCATCTGCTTGCAGTTTTGGTCAAGGCTGCCCACCTCAATGCTCATGGAAGGGACTGTGATGTGTGGGGGAATAATTGCTTCTGTCCCATAGGCCAGGGAAAATGGTGTCTCTCCGGTCGATCTCCTTTTGGTCGTGCGATAAGCCCATAGGACTCCTGGCAGCTCGTCGACCCATTTTCCTTCTGCGCCTTCCAGTCTTTTCTTTAGGCAGTCCAGCACTATCTTGTTGGATGCCTCTGCTTGGCCATTGCCTTGCGGGTATCGGGGTGTTGACAGGTGTTGTTTGATGCCATACTTCGCAAAGAATGCGGTGATCTGCCTGCCCACGAACTGTGTACCATTGTCGGTGACTATCGATTGCGGGCAACCGAATCTGCAAATAATGTTCTTCCAGATGAACCGTTCAACATCGGCCTCCTTGGTAGAAGATAAAGCCTCGGCCTCGATCCATTTGGTGAAGTAATCAGTGGCAACGATCATCATCTCTTTGTTGGCAGGTGCCGTCGGCATAGGTCCCACCAAGTCAATGGCCCACTGCATGAATGGCCATGGACTGTTCTGCGGATGGTATTCCTCAGCGGGCAGGCCAGGGACCGGCTTGTAGCGTTGGCATCGATCACATCTTCGAGCATACTCCGTGGAGTCTTGGCGCATGGTAGGCCAGAAATAGCCTATGCTGAGAGCCTTCTGAGCAAGCGATCTGCCCCCAGCGTGATTTCCACATTCGCCGTCGTGTATCTTGCAGAGAACCTCGAGCGTTTGTGGGTACTTGATGCAAGTGAGATGAGGCCCGTAGTATGATCTGCGGATAAGCATGTCGCCTTTCATGTAGTATCTTGCAGCCTTCTGCTTGATTTTTCTGGCCTCGGACTTGTCCTTGGGCAGGTTTTCATTCACTAGGTAGTCAATAATTGGGTCTTGCCAGCTAGGATCCTCATCGATCTGCATCAGGTCCGGCTGCTCTGCCTCCTCTATGCTAGGCTGGTCAAGGTGCTCGACCGGGATGGAACGTCTGAACTGGGTATCCAGCGCCGATCCTAAGCTTGCTAGTGCATCTGCGTGCGCGTTCTCTGCTCTGGGAACTTGCTGGATGGTGAAGGTGGGAAACGCCTTCAACAACTCTTGAACTTTGTCAAGGTACAAGATCATCCTTGGGTGCTTCGCCATGTATTCTCCTGAGGCTTGACTTGTGATCAGCTGGGAATCTGAGTAGATGGCCAGCTTTTTGATTGATAGCTCCTTTGCCAAGCGCAAGCCAGCGAGCAACGCCTCGTACTCTGCCTCGTTGTTTGAAGCCGGGAAGCCAAGCGTGATAGCTTGCTCTAACAGGGTTCCATCTGGGGTGATGATGACGACGCCTGCTCCAGCTCCTTTCTGGTTCGACGCTCCGTCTACGCGCAACTGCCACATGTCTCTGGGTTGGTCAGGTTCAGTAGAGGTCTTGTCTGCTCTCGAACTTTCCTTCTTTTTGCTGACCAGCTTCTCTTCTTCGGCTGATGGTGTGAATTCTGCAACAAAGTCTGCTAAGGCTTGAGCTTTTATTGCAGTCTTTGGCCGGTAGAGGAGGTCGTATTGGCTTAGCTCTATAGCCCACTTCATGAGTCGCTGAGAAGCATCAGGGCTGTGGAGGATTGATCTCAAAGGAAAGTCGGTCATGACGATGACTCGGTGAGCTTGGTAATAAGGTCGCAGCTTTCTCGCAGAAACCACAAGGGCCAAAATGAGCTTCTCCAATTTCGGGTAACGAGTCTCTGCATCGAGGAGAGCTTTTGACGTGTAGAATATCGGATGTTGGGCCCCAAGTTCTTCTCGAATGAGAGCTGAGCTGACGGCCGAGTTGGACACTGCCAGGTACACGAACAAGTCTTCACCAGGAACTGGCTTTGAGAGCAAGGGAGGTGAAGTAAGGTAGGTCTTTAGATTCTGGAAAGCTACTTCGCACTCTTCGTCCCATTTGTCTTTTTGTCCTTTCTTCAAAGCTTTGAAGAATGGTCTGCACTTGTCGGTAGACTTTGAGAGGAATCTGTTAAGGGCCGCTGCTCTGCCCGTCAGGCTTTGTATCTCCTTCACTGTGGAAGGCGACTTCATCTCGAGAATGGCTTTGATTTGGCGCGGGTGTGCCTCGATACCTCGTTGCGTCACCAAGTACCCTAGGAACCGGCCAGACGATACACCGAACGTGCATTTACTTGGATTCAGCTTCATGCGATATTGGCGGAGTAGGCTGAACGCCTCGGTGAGGTTTTTGAGGTGGTCTGCCCGCTTGGGGGCTTTAACCAGCATATCGTCCACGTACACCTCCATGGTTCTGCCGATCTGCTCCTTGAAAATTTTATTCACGAGCCTTTGGTAGGTTGCTCCAGCGTTCTTCAGCCCAAAGGGCATGACCTTGTAGCAGTAGGTCCCTCTTTCGATGATGAAAGAGGTCTTCGCCTTGTCATCATCGTACATCATAATTTGATTATAGCCGGAGTAAGCATCCATGAAGCTGAGCAGCTGGTTGCCGGAAGTTGAATCCACGAGCTGGTCGATTCTCGGCAATGGGAAGTTGTCTTTAGGGCATGCTTTGTTGAGGTCGGTGTAATCAACGCATACTCTCCATTTTCCCTTTTCTTGTTTCGCCACCAGAACAACGTTAGCCAGCCATTCCGAGTAGGAGACCTCTTCAATGAAACCGGCAGCTAGGAGCTTGTCGATTTCGGCTTCAATGATCGCGACCCGCTCGGGAGCAAAGTTGCGTCTCTTCTGCACCACGGGCTTGCTAGCAGGGTTGACATGGAGCCGATGGCAGATGATATTTGGGTCAATGCCAGGCATGTCAGATGGTGACCACGCGAACATGTCTTTGTTGTTCTGGAGGAAGATGGTCAGCTCCATCTTCTCGTCTGGGCTTAGGCGCGAGCCGATCCGCGCTTTCTTGTATGGCTGGTGAGGATCGAGGGGTACTAACTCAACGTCTTCCTCAGGCTTCCAACCTTCTTCAAGGGAGCCTTCCGGGCGGATTCCCTCGTCTCGATCCTTCTTGTTCGGATTCTGGCACGAGTAGGTCCCTCTTTCGATGATGAAAGAGGTCTTCGCCTTGTCATCATCGTACATCATAATTTGATTATAGCTGGAGTAAGCATCCATGAAGCTGAGCAGCTGGTTGCCGGAAGTTGAATCCACGAGCTGGTCGATTCTCGGCAATGGGAAGTTGTCCTTAGGGCATGCTTTGTTGAGGTCGGTGTAATCAACGCATACTCTCCATTTTCCCTTTTCTTGTTTCGCCACCAGAACAACGTTAGCCAGCCATTCCGAGTAGGAGACCTCTTCAATGAAACCGGCAGCTAGGAGCTTGTCGATCTCGGTTTCAATGATCGCGACCCGCTCGGGAGCAAAGTTGCGTCTCTTCTGCACCACGGGCTTGCTAGCAGGGTTGACATGGAGCCGATGGCAGATGATATTTGGGTCAATGCCAGGCATGTCAGATGGTGACCACGCGAACATGTCTTTGTTGTTCTGGAGGAAGATGGTCAGCTCCATCTTCTCGTCTGGGCTTAGGCGCGAGCCGATCCGCGCTTTCTTGTATGGCTGGTGAGGATCGAGGGGTATTAACTCAACGTCTTCCTCAGGCTTCCAACCTTCTTCAAGGGAGCCTTCCGGGCGGATTCCCTCATCTCGATCCTTCTTGGTTGAATTCTGGCGCGAGCCGATCTGCGCCTCCTTCTCTGGCTGGTGAGGATCGGGGGGTACTAACTCAACGTCTTCCTCAGGCTTCCAACCTTCTTCAAGGGAGCCTTCCGGGCGGATTCCCTCGTCTCGATCCTTCTTGTTCGGATTCTGGCACGAGCCGATCTGCGCCTCTTTGTCTGGCTGGTCAGGATCGGGGGGTACTAACTCAACGTCTTCCTCAGGCTTCCAACCTTCTTCAAGGGAGCCTTCCGGGCGGATTCCCTCGTCTCGATCCTTCTTGTTCGGATTCTGGCACGAGCCGATCTGCGCCTCTTTGTCTAGCTGGCCAGGATAAGGAGGTACTAACTCAACGTCATCCTCAGGCTTCCAACCCTTTTCAGGGGAGTCTTCCGGGCGGATTCCCTCGTCTCGATCCTGGTTCCTTAACTGCTATTGTGAGGCAGCAACTTCCTTCCCTTTCGGGTTTGCTTGTCTGCTAAGAGCGCTTCTTGCCTCGTTGGCAGCTTGCATTACTGGTGTGAACTGCAGCTGCTTGCTCTTCTTGAGCCCTTGGGCGGTGCATCTCCTTGCCATGGCTTGGTCACTGTTGATCTGCCCGATTCCGCCCCCAGGGATGGGATAACGGATCTTCTGATGTAGAGCAGATGTGATGGCCTCGATCTTGCTGATCCACGGTCGGCCCAAGATTCCGTTGTAGGGGGAAACCTCGTCGATGACCATGAAGGTCTGCGAGCAGACTACTGGGGGTGAGTGGACATCCAAGTCGATCGTTCCAACAGTGATTGATGTGGCCCCATTGAAGCCGGTGAGCGATCTGGCAAGTTTGCTAATCTTGGGCTCGAACCCCATCTGTTGGATAACAGATAGTTGCAGGATGTTGGCTGCGCTGCCCTCATCTACATGAACTCGCTCGATCACAGCTTGTTCAATTTGGATGCAGATGACTAGGGCGTCATTATGTGGCAGGTCAAGCCCGATCAAGTCCTTCTTCTGGAAGCCGATGATAGGTGTATCCCCAACGGCTGGTACTCCCGTTGTGACTTGGGAGACATAAGTTGCCTGCGCGATCTTTCTCTTGCGCTCCTTGGTGGTCAGCCCGGACTCTTGGGAGTCGGCTAGAATGGTGTTGATTCGAATGACCTTTTGGGGAGGTTCCTTGGCAACTACATCACGATCCTCGATCTGCTGGATAGCCTTCTTTGCAACGAACTCTGTGCAATGGCCCTCTCTGACCAGCTCCTCAAGGTGCCTTTTCCAAGCGTTGCAGTTGTTGGTGTAATGACCGTGCTCCCCGTGGAATGCGCAGTATTTGCTGGTGTCTCTTTTATAGGGGTCTCCCTTCATGGGTGGTGGTCTCCTCACCCACGGCTTATCTTTCACCTGAGCTAGGATCTGGTGGATTGGGATAGCGAACTCGGTGAAGGTCCCTGTTTCTAAGCTTCCCTCTTGGGGCCGCGATCTGCGCTTATCTCGGGCTTTTTGCTCGAACTTGTTGCTCTTTTGGCTTGCCTGCTTCGTCGGGTGGTCAACTTGCTTGCTAGCTTTCTTTGCGGCGATACGATCATCGTCCCAAAGTGCGTAGCGCTCTGCCGTCGCGAACACTTCTGCCAAGGTTTGACTTGGAGTTATGGCCAGCTCCCGGTATAGCTCGTGCTCGGTTGGCAAGCCCTTTTTGAATGCTGAGGATGCAACTTGGTCGTTGCATCCTATGATGTTAGCCTTCTCAGCCTTAAACCGTCTCAGGTAGTCTCGTAGAGACTCGTCTGGCTTCTTGCGCAGGTTGAACAGGTGGTCTGCATGCTTTCTGACCGTCTTGTAGGAGGTGTACTCCTTTGTGAAAATGATGGCGAACTCCATGAAGTTGCCTATTGACGCGGACGGTAGAGTGTGGAACCAATCCTGAGCTGCTCCTCGCAGAGTCATCGCGAACACTTTGCACATCAGGGCGTCGTCTGCCTTGTACAGGATCATGGCGCTCTTGAAGTGCCTCAAATGGCTCTCAGGGTCAGAGTCCCCCTTGAATGGAGTGATGGATGGCGTTGTAAACCGCTTCGGCGGCGGAGCTCGTTCCACCTCGTCGGTAAAGGGAGAGCGGTCAACTCGATCAATTTCCTTGCACAGGGCCTCCTCCGCGCTTCCTTTGAGTCGGAGACCTCGGAGTTGGTCATTTACCAGCTTTGCGACATCCTCTGCTCGCAGGGTTGGAGTCTCGGGCCGATGTCTTCGGTGCCTCGAGCGCGACTGGCTAGCTTCTTCCTCGGTTCCCAAGGGTCGATCCCCTTGGTTGCCCTGCCGGTGGGGCAGGAGAGAAGGTTGAGCTTGTGAGGATTCCTCTGCAGCTTGTCGCCGCGTGTTGGTCCTCGAGCGGGCTGGTGGGCGTCGATCGTCACCTTCTGCTCGCAAGGAAGGTCGTTCAGGTCGGCGCCTTCGGAGTCTCGAGCGTGACTGGCTAACTTCTTCTCCAACTCCCAAGGGTCGATCCCCTTGGTTGCCCTGCCGGTGGGGCAGGAGAGAAGGTTGAGTTTGGGAGGATCCCTCCACAGCTTGTCGCCGCATGTTGGACCTCGAGCGGGCTGGTGAGCGTTGATCGTCATCCTCTGCTTGCAAGGAAGGTCGTTCAGGTCGACGTCTTCGGTGCCTCGAACGTGATCGGCTAACTTCTTCTCCGGCTTCCAAGGGTCGATCCCCTTGGTTGCCCTGCCGATGGGGCAGGAGAGAAGGTTGAGTTTGGGAGGATCCCTCCACAGCTTGTCGCCGCGACCGCTCACGAACTCGAGCTCCTTGTGGACCTAAGCGAGCACGAACATTGGATTGTGGGCCTAGCCTCTCGAGCACATTGGTCCTGGGTCCTAGCCTCGAACGGCTCAGAGTACGGCTCGCAGCTGTCTGCGTCTCGTCTGCACGATCTCGCTCTCTTCCCTGCCGGTTTGCCCTTGTCTGACTAGCCTGGGACCTCTCGAACTGCTCGCCAGCATGCTCGTGTGCCCTCCTCTCCTCGTCACGGGGTCCAAGGTTGGGGCCTTGATTCAAGTTGATCTGCCTGAGTAGCTGGCCAATCAGGTTGTTTTGATCATCGACCTTCTGTGTGAGTTGATCAACCCGCGAGTTAAGGTCCACCTGACTGCCCGGGTCAAGTAGAGTGGTGTGCATTGGGCCCAACGGCATGTGGGCTAGGGCTCCATTAGACGCGTACACAGGTGCATATGTCAAGTGTGATCGCAGAGGAGGGAGAGAATGGATCTGCTCCAAGACTGGGACGATGTCAGAGTAGCCATGGGGCTGTGCAGCAAGTCCAGTAGTTAAGTGGTGTGGCTGCTGCTGTGCTCCGACGGCAGGACAGCGAGGCAGAGCAGCTCCGGTAATCGGCGCTGGCGACTGCAAGGCTGTGGAGGTCCCAGGGTCATGTGGCGGCTGTTCTGCAATTCCAGCAGCTGAAGGCGGCTGCAAAGCACTAGAAGACGGCTGCAGGGCGTTGGCAGGCATGATTCCGTGCGGTTGCCTTGAGGTTTCCACCACGAAACCATGAGATGGGCCCGTCGTGGTGGCGTTACTCTTCGTACGTCTTGTATCAACCATGGTTGTTTGAAAAAACTGTGTGAAAGATGGATTTTGAGCACGCTTTGAATATATCTCGTGCTCTCAATGAAAGCACCAATTTGTTTGTACAAATTTCCTCACGAGGATATTCGTCTAAGATTCCTTCGTCTTCTCCACTTCTCTTTCTCCCTGCAAAACAGATCGGGGTAAAAGGACCACACCCGGGGGGTGTTGGCCAAAGGCCCTCCGATGCCTAAGTTAGGTAGGGTATTTCAAGGAAAACCGGGTGGCCGGAGCCGTGTGTGGTGGCCGGAGCCTTGTGTCAGAGAGAGAAAGAAAGTGGTGGCTAGGGTTTGTGAGAAATAATTTCTGCAGAGTTTCAGTAGGAATTTAGACGTACCTTGACCTTTGTGCGTAGCCAACTATTTATAATGGTCTCGGAGATTAGGGTTTCATAGGAATAATTCCGTAGTTGGTAAGGAATTATTCCTCCCTGATTTGGCATTGATTTAATTAATTAGGGATTTGATTTATTTGGGTAAATCAAATCCCTAATCGTGGTAGGTATCAGATCAAATCCCAATCTAATTAGGTAACTCCTCATTTAATTGGGAATTGGGGTAGGAATCAAATCAATTCCCAACTTAATTAGGTAATTCTCAATTTAATTGGGTAACTCCCAATTAAATTGAGTAACTCCCAATTAGGTTGAGTAATTCCCAATTAGGTCAAATAATCCCCAAATGGAAGGAATTATTTGACCTAGGGTTTTGATTTAATTGGTTCCCACATGGAATTTAAACCTTTTTGAGTGGGGCATGGATTTTCTAAGGCCAGGTTGGGCTTTGCAGCATTCCTTTGAATCATAGTTCATCTTCAGTCTTTGTAATCTTGGCATGCCAAACACACACACCAAAAGAGAAACAAAGAAACGACAGATTTTCTAGACTCTAAGAAAGATCGAGAAAAAGATATAGAAATAGGGGGCGATGAAACGGGGATGGGGAAGTACTTATCAGATAGGTGAGCCTTGGCCTACTGCAATATATAATTATATATATACCTGGCTGCCAGATAGAATGAGGAGAGAAAAAAAAACCATTATGCAAATAAGCGACTCCACTGGGGATCGAACCCAGAATCTCTGGTTTCGTAGACCAGCGCCTTATCCATTGGGCCATGGAGTCAACATGTTGTCTTTAATGGGATCTTCAAATTTTATAGACTCTCGTATGGCATTGAAATTTGAAACCAAAAGATCCTTTCTCTTTTTTTTTGGGTCAACACCAAAAGATCCTTCTTGAAAAAGGCCAGAGCGCTTCCCGTCAAAGCTGATAAAGGTACGAAAGCTTTTGCTCAGCCCATTTCAAGGTAAAAAGCAAAAAGAGAAAGTCCTGCTGATTTGATTTCTAGTAAGGCATCATTATTTGTTAAATTGTTTTCCTTTTCAACAATTCTGTTCCAATCTCCACAGTTTATTACCTTCTCTAGCCGATCATACACCTCATTCTTCTGTCACCAGCTTATCTATATCATATGTAGCACTATATCTACTGTCTGTTTTGCTTAGAATAATTGCCCTGTTCCTCCTCTCCCTCAACTCTCTCTCTCTCTCTCTCTCTCTCTCTCTCTCTCTCTCTCTCTTACAAACTCACTGACATATGATTATGGAGCCACATTCCTCAAAAACACTAGTTGTCACTATTTTGGTGTCACTCTCACTGAGCTTAGCACCATGCTTGGCTTTGGCCTCAACTTCGTGCAAGTTCCCGGCTATATTCAACTTTGGTGACTCAAACTCCGACACCGGTGGCTTGTCTGCGGTTTTCGGCCAGGCTCGCTCGCCCCATGGAGAGTCCTACTTCCACGGCCCAGCCGGTCGTTACTGCGATGGCCGTCTTGTCATTGATTTTATAGGTACTTCAATCTTCACTATTAAGCTACATTCTGAAACTAATAATGAACAATGATAAATTTCATGTCCTAGCTTACCAATCATTTTCACATATGATAGATATATAATTGGAAATAATGCTTTAAAAGTTTAGGGAATCAATCCACCGACGCTTCACTAGGAAACTACCAGAATGTCACGTGTAATTTTGGATGAACATAATTTGGAATCTGCCAAAAATGCCACTTTTTTCCGACTTATCCAACATCCACTATCTAATACTATTGGCTTGATTGAATTGAATGCTCTGTTTTCAGCTAAGAGCTTCGGATTGCCATTTCTTAGCGCATATCTTGATTCTGTGGGGAGCAACTTCAGCCATGGAGCCAACTTTGCTACGGCTGGCTCAACCATCAGACCCCAGAACACAACTCTTCGCCAGAGTGGTTTTAGCCCCATCTCACTGGACGTTCAATACAATGAGTTCTATGATTTTCATCCCAGATCCCAAGTTGCTCGAAATCGAGGTCATTTCTCCTTATGTACATCTAGCCTACCTAAAAGAACTTGCATGATTGTATGCTAAACCAGAAAATCAATTGCAATGTATGTGCAGGTGGGGTTTTTAAACAACTGATGCCTAAAGCACAAGATTTCTCTCGTGCATTGTACACCTTTGATATTGGCCAGAACGATTTAACGGCCGGTTTGTTCTTGAACATGTCCACTACCCTAGTAAAAGCTTATGTTCCTGATGTCCTAAATCAGTTCAAAAACATTGTCAAGGTAATTAACAATCCAAACTGTGATTAATTTGGCTTTTCATTCATTTGAAAATGATGTGCTTGCTATGTATACACAGAACATATATGGTCAAGGAGGTAGATATTTCTGGATACACAATACAGGTCCCATTGGTTGTCTTCCATACGTTTTGGACCGCCTACCTGTATTAGCCGCGCAGGTAGACAACGCCGGATGTGCCATACCTTACAATAAAGTTGCTCAATTTTTCAACCGTGGATTAAAACAGGCTGTGTTCCAATTAAGAAAAGATCTGCCATTGGCTGCAATCACATATGTTGATGTTTACTCAGCCAAGTACTCCCTTATTAGCCAACCCGAAAAGCATGGTAAGTTCTTGTTAAATTGAAATCGCTTCCTTTATGGGGTGGATTAATTAGTGATTGAGTTTGTTGACATGTGATACAAAACATTGCAGGATTTAAGGAACCAGTAAGAGCATGTTGTGGTCATGGTGGGAAGTACAATTATAACTTGCACATTGGATGTGGAGGAAAGGCTAAGGTTCATGGCAAAGTAAAATTGGTGGGAAAGGCATGCCAAGACCCATCTCTCTGGGTGAATTGGGATGGTGTGCATTACACTCAAGCAGCTAACAAAAGGGTGTTTGATCAGATTGTAGATGGTTCATTTTCAGACCCACCAATTCCATTGAAAAGGGCTTGCCATAGGCAGCAAGCTCATTAGATCACATGTGACCCTTTTCTGTACTCAAATAAAATATGTTGAGGCCATTAGAATCTTTTTTTTTAATTCTTCTTTTTGCTTGGATTCAGGGTCAGTCAATGTAATCCCTTAACTTAAGCAAGAAACAGATAAAGAAAGACCCTTAAGTGGTGACCTAGGAGGTGGTGACCTAATGGCCCTCCTAGTCTCTATTTTCATCTTCTCTGTTAAGACTATAAAAATTTCATGTTCTCCCTCAGTCTCTGTGTCCCATACATGATAATGGAATCACATTTCTCAAAAACACTGGTTGTCGCTATTTTGGTGTCACTCTCAGTGAGCTTGGCACCATGCTTGGTTTTGGCCTCAACTTCATGCAAGTTCCCGGCTATTTTCAACTTCGGGGACTCAAACTCTGACACCGGTGGCTTCTCTGCAGTTTTTGGCCAGGCTCGTCCACCCCATGGAGAGTCCTACTTCCACGGCCCAGCCGGTCGTTACTGTGATGGCCGCCTTGTCATTGATTTTATAGGTACTTCATTTTAATTACCATCTTCTTCCATAAACCAATAAACAGAAAGTTGGTTTTGTCACAAAAATATGATGGCTAGTATCTCAACTTTGAAACTAATATAAAATGAAGAATTCATGTACTCCTTGCTTGTTGACCACTAAACTGAATTCATGACTTGGGTTTGGATGAACATAATTGAATGAGATTGGAAGCTACCAAAAATGCCAAAACAAAATTTGTATAGCATCTCAGCTGGCATCAAGTGAAAAAAGAAAATCAACCTACTCAGATTATCCAATGTAATAGTATTGCCTTGATTGAATTGAATCCTCTGTTTTCAGCTAACAGCCTCGGATTGCCATTTCTTAGCGCATATCTTGATTCGGTGGGGAGCAACTTCAGTCATGGAGCCAACTTTGCGACGGCAGCCTCAACCATCAGACCTCAAAACACAACTCTTCATCAGAGTGGGTTTAGCCCCATTTCCTTGGATGTTCAATACGACGAGTTCTATGATTTTCCTCCAAGATCCCAAATTGTTCGCAGTCAAGGTCACAAATGCTACTTATATACTGATAATATATATCTTCTTATTTATTGGTTGGAAAAACTTGCCTTATTGTGTGCATTCAAAAGAGAAGATGATTTGAAATGTAGGTGGAGTTTTTGAACAACTAATGCCTAAAGCGGAAGATTTCTCTCGTGCATTGTACACCTTTGATATTGGTCAGAACGATTTAGCAGCCGGCTTTTTCTTCAACATGTCCACTGCCCAAGTCAAAGCTTATGTTCCTGATGTCCTCAATCAGTTCAAAAGCATTGTCAAGGTGATGAGCAATCCAACAAGCTAAACCCTAAACAACATTTTATAACTTCACTAAATGGATTGGTTTTCTTTCTAGTCATTCATTTGAAGCTCATGTGGTTGTTTGTTACATATATACAGAATGTATACGATCAAGGAGGTAGATACTTTTGGATACACAATACGGGTCCTGTAGGCTGTCTCCCCTATGTATTGGCCCGCCTACCGGTATTAGCCTCTCAGGTGGACAAGGCCGGATGTGCCACACCTTACAATGAAGTTGCTCAGTTTTTCAACCATGGATTGAAAGAAGTTGTGGTCCAACTAAGAGAAGAACTACCATTGGCTGCAATCACATATGTTGATATTTACTCAGCCAAATACTCCCTCATTAGCCAACCCAAAAAACATGGTAAGCTAAACTTGAACATACACCTGTGATTTGGATGTACTAGTGATTTGAATTTGTTGAGCTAAATACACTGCAGGATTTGAGCAACCAATAAGAGCATGCTGTGGTCAAGGAGGGAAGTACAACAACAACTTGCACTGTGGTGGAAAGATTAAGGTGCATGGCAGGGAAATATTGGTGGGAAAGGCATGCCAAGACCCATCACTCTGGGTAAATTGGGATGGGTTTCATTACACTCAAGCAGCTAACAAAAGGGTCTTTGATCAAATTGTAGATGGTTCATTTTCTGACCCACCAGTTCCATTGAAAATGGCTTGCCATAGGCAGCAGCAAGCTCATTGAAAATTAGATCAAGTGTCACTCTTTTTCACTATTTAGATTAAATACTCAAGGCCACCATAATATTTTTTGCTTTTCTTTTTTCTTTTTTCTTGATGGATCAGTTTTGTCATATTCTTGATGTATTAAATTAAATTAAGCATGAAGCAGATAAAGAAAGACCCAACTGTCACATTCTTCGTTTGCTCTGCAGTAAGACTCTAAAAACTTTATGCTCTCTTCTTTCATCTATAGTTCTCTCTCAATAGTCTATACATATGGAAACTCGCTTCCTCCTAAGGCTAAGAGATCATCATGTTCTCTTTGGCCTTGTAATTTGGGCAACATTAGTGCTTCCGAGTCTTAGCATTTCTGTAAGATCATGCTCTTTCCCGGCCATGTTCAACTTTGGAGACTCAAACTCAGACACCGGGGGCCTGTCTGCTGCTTTTGGACAAGCCCCTTACCCAAATGGAGAGACTTATTTCCACACCCCATCCGGACGCTACTCTGATGGGCGTCTTCTAATTGACTTCATAGGTACTTCCTCTGCAACTTCTCTTTGCTCCTTAAATCTCTCTCTCTCTCTCTCTCTCTCTCTCTCTCTGGTCAAGTAAATCTCTCTCTCTTCACCAACTTTACAAAACAATGTCATGTTTTTGTTTCTGTTTCTGTTTTCCCTTTGCTATATTGTTATGGTCGTTTTCTCGATTCTCGAGGACATATCCTATTAGATGCAGAAAGGGTTTTGGCAAACTTGAAAAACGAAACTCATTTTGGATTTTACTGGCGTCAGATTTGAAACTGTGCTGCATGTGACTCCATTTCATGAAGGATTTGGATCCACCAATATTATCATTACCAAGTTGAAAAACCGGACAAAAATTCAGCTTTTGCATGCATTCTTTAGTTAAAAACAATATGCCAAATATGCCAAAAGTATTGGGCTCTGTTCTTCAATCCTATACTAAAGCATGGAGATTAAATAATGCATCAAACATGCAGAGAGTGACACACTCGTGACCTGAATCTGAAGTCCTTTTTTTTTTACATGTCTAAATTTACTGATTATTATTAGACTTATTTACTGTTTTACTCCCTAAAACGAATGCTCGGTCTCATTTTACCATCTTAAACTGAAATTTTCTCACTTAACCTCTGAATCTCTAAAATTTGCTGAAATTTTCTCATTTTATCACTTCCGTCCATTTCCATCCACAAAACCGTTAAGGTTTAGACCTGTAGGCTGTATCTTCTTCTAACCTCCTCCTTGTTTCAAAGTGGAAAGCTTGAGATTGCCTCATCTGAGTGCTTTTCTGGACTCGGTGGGCTCGAACTTCAGCCATGGAGCCAATTTTGCCACAGCTGGATCAACCATAAGGCCCCCCAAACACAACCATATCACAAAGTGGGGTCAGCCCCATTTCTTTAGATGTGCAGCTTGTTCAATTCTTGGACTTCCGAACAAGATCCCAAATATATCAAAAAAAAAGGTTACTCATTTTACTTCCACTTCCTTTGTTTACCATTTCTTGCATCAAAATTGTTGTTTGATGAAGTTGGGATTGTTTCAAAATTGGCAAATAGGTGAAGTATTTGGTAAATTGTTGCCCAAGAAAGATTATTTTTCTCAAGCCCTTTATACCTTTGACATTGGCCAAAATGATCTCACTGCTGGCTACAAACTCAACCTCACCACAGAACAAGTCAAGGCTTATGTTCCAGATGTACTGAGCCAGCTCTCTCATACCATTAAGGTTGATCATATATATATATATATATATATATATATATATATATATATTTCTTTAGGTTACCTTCTAGGATTTCGAATGCATTGATAAATGCTCTTAACCACTTGAGCTACAAGCCCATGCAACAATTCATTTGGCATGTTTGCTTCTATATGTACAGATTGTATACGAACAAGGAGGAAGATCATTTTGGATACATAACACAGGCCCACTGGGCTGCCTCCCTTATGTTCTGGACCGCTTCCTCATCAACCCGGCCCAAATAGATAAATATGGGTGTGCAGATCAGTTCAATGAGGTGGCCCAATATTTCAACCAAAGACTAAAGGAGGCTTTGCTTCACCTTAAGAAAGATCTTCCATTGGCTGCAATCACCTATGTTGATGTCTACTCAGTAAAGCGCACCCTTATCACCCAAACCAAAAAATATGGTAACACTTTACCTCACTTTGTGAGTTTGTTAACTTTAGATGAATTTTGCATCCACCCTACAATGCAAGTCACAATTTTGAATTTGTAATGTAGGGTTTGAGAATCCCCTTATAGCATGTTGCGGTCATGGTGGGAAATATAATTACAACAGGTACGCGAAATGTGGGACCAAGAAGACCATCAACGGCAACGAGACGGTCATTGCGAAATCATGCAATGATCCGACGGTTCGGATCAACTGGGACGGGGTCCACTACACTGAGGCCGCGAACAAGTGGATATTCCAACAAATTGTGAATGGGTCCTTTTCGGACCCGCCAAACCCTTTGAAAATGGCCTGTCGTAGAAGTAGAATGGACCACTGAATCACTAATCTCTGGTGGGATGTTTTCTTCTTTTTCCTTTCCATATGCCTTTTTCATCTTCTAAAAGGACTTTACAAAAGTGTCAAGTGAGAAGTGAACAACCTTTTCACTTAGAATAAATTATTGGGCTTGTTTTTTTTGCCAAACAAGAATATGAAGCAAAAGTATATGGGCCACCAACGGCCCATCCATCTCATGCAGGAATCTATTCCTGTCTTTTAGGGTACATTCATGTCACGTGGTAGGCATGTTGTTGTGGGCCAACCCCCAGACTTTTACCTTTTTTTCTTTCTTTATTTCGTATGGTTTTCACTTTTGGTAACTTAGCCAACATGTCTATTTATAGGTGTGGCCTGCCCAAAAGCAGTCATCATAAGATTGGATGGTCAGATCCTTGACTAGGAATCTAAATCTAGTTTGTATCCAAATTATGAGTTCGGATCCTCTGCTTTGGTTATACACAAAATATGTTATAATTCAAGTGATCGATCGTAAATATTTCAAACCCGCGATAAGAATTTGACTCTCATTTATTTATACAACATTACTAAGAGTTTTCTTTAAACACTCGACTCGACAACAATAATAAAAACAGAAAAAAATAAAGAAACTGAAAATAAAAAATAAAGATGATCCACATATACGTCACAGAGCAATTATAAACCGAAAATGGGTAATTGGGCGATTGGGATTGGGGGATCATTGGGCATGTAAATGTGATCCAATCTGGCCCTGTCTAATCATGTTCCATATTATTCAATTCCAGCTGTAGCAAGCAAAATCCCAAACCAGTTGGGTCCATCTGTTCGTATGTGGAACCTCACTGTAGAAGTAGGGGTCTACCCTCCAAATCCAAAATGTGCATGAACGTGGAGCCTTAATTAATCCCTTTCCCTTAATTCCCTTTGCTCATGTTTAATGCAATAATGTTGCTAATTAATCACTTCAATAACGTGTGTTAATGAACCACTTTGAACACAATCATCATTCCACCTTCCAAGCATAAACGAATAAGGAAAATACAGATGACCCACCTGCCTTCTCATCCTCTTCTTCTGCTGCACAACTTGACTTTTCAGTCAACTCTTGTTCTTGGGTTGACTGCGCAGTTTCTGGTGATGAAGATGATATTGGCTTGAAAATGAACATTCCATGCCTTGCCCCAGAGCTGAAGAGCCAATCATGAACATCCCAATAAACTTCAACTTTAGTTTTGTTTATATCAACACACTCATTACCTCTGAATTTCCAATGGAGGTGCTTGACATGGAGAGCTATGCTCCCATCTATCTTTATCTCCAGTTCTGGATCAGCCCCAGTGGCAGAGATGTTGTTGCACTCAATCAAAATCTCATGAAAGCTTTCCTTTTCATGGAACTTGATTCTTGTTGAGTATCTCTTCTTGCCAAACAAATGTTCCTTCCTTGAAACCAAGATGGGTTCTATGAGTGATGGCCTGCAACCTGTTCTTCTGTATGCATCTTTCTTTTGATCACCAACAAGCAACACCACCTCCTCTTCACACACAATAGCCACATAATAGTCCGATCGCGGCTCGGTTTCTCCGTTGAATTTTGCAGCTTTTAGGTCCCAGACCACATCAACTGTGCTGCCATCCACCAGAAATTGCTTGGAGCCTTGCTTCCTCCAAAAGTACCACGGCTTCAGCTCAACCTTACACCGATAATCTTCGTCTCCATATTGGCCTTGAACAGAAACAGAGAGGCCATGTAGCAACAAATTCTTGCACCAAGTGATGGTGATCAGACGGCACTGACCAGCTATCTTTGTGCTGTACACTGACATGAACACACTCTGTCCTGCCCTGATCACGCTGGTTGGATTTGGATCATCAACCGGCCTTTGAGTACCAGATGAAAAGCAAGCAGGAATTCCAATTGTATCATGCATGGTTACTCAATGATTTATAAGAAAAGTGATTGATTTATATGAAGAAATGAAGAGGATATATATATAGTCTTGATCAAATTAATCAGACTTCAAGGCATTGACAGACAAAGATGAATGAGTTGGTTTGGCTAAGATCTCACCCATAAGATTTGGCACGAAGCTTTTCTTGGCAGCATGTTATCAATCGAGCCACAGGCTAATGACTCAATTTCCAAACTGGCAGTCTTTAGAGGCAGAGAGAAGTGAGGATGGAGGGTGAACTTAAGAGTAACACGTTTTACATGCATCTAAGCCGAGCAAGCTTTCCAATCTGTTTTGCCCTTTCTATTTTTAACAAAACAAACCTTTTTTTCTTCTTGGAAGTGGTTTGGGTTGAAGATAAGTTTGATCCCCATAAATCTATCTTTTTCATGCATGGAAAAAAGCAACTACCCCTTTTTCATCACATATGAAGTTCATGTGACAGTGTACCAGAATATAAAGAACTAAAATTCTTATCAGGGGAGAGCATATGGGTGGGGTAAGGGAGACTAACGAAGTAAAATATATATATATAAATAATTTGGATTTACGATGTGGGTTATTATACTTCCACATGCTTTGTACTGTTTCACCAGATGCTTTTTTAAACTTCATAATTGAGCAGTATATGTACAGTGGTGGAAAAGTTAGTAGTTAGCAGGAATGCTGGGTGGGAGGGTGCAGAAAATGAGAGGAATTCTTCACTACTCTTGAGTTTGAGTAAGATTATGCAGATATAAACTGTATAACTCAGTTCATTGTAGTTTGAACATGGGAGGCATGACGAGGAAAATGAAGATACAGGCAAATGATAGCTGGGGATGTTGATCTATCTAAGAGAGTAAAATACAAAAGCCAAGGGATTAGGGAGGCAGATTTACAATCTCTGTATTTAGAGAAGTTGGTGGGGGGGAACAATAGCAGTTCATTAGCTCTTTCCATATAAGAGCACAATTGATGACGCAAATTAATGACTTTTTCGAACAATCAAGCTTTGTTATCTTTCTGAACGATAATTAGAGCTTCATTTATGATTTTAGTTCTCAGTGATTCACTTTTCATATATGAACACAAAGATCTTCATAAGCAGCCAAGCGAAGCTTCATTTATCACCACTAATATTCGGTACTGCAATTCCAAGATTAATATGCAGATGGCAGATACATCAAAGGTGAGAAAGAAGTACTAGCGAAAGAGTGGCCATTAGCATTATCATTGAGCTTTTAAGAAAGAGAAAAGTTGTTACTAGCAATTAAAGAATTCGGAAGATTAGACCCTGCACAGCTTTCTGTATAGCTTTCTGCAAGGTTCCTTAACTGCAGGAGAAAGGCGTACTGCAAGAGCACAAATGCCAATCAACTGAGCTGGCATCTGAAATGATTTAGATCAATTATCATCACAGTGATGTCGTCCAAACTACCCCTACTCAATGCAAGGTTCACAAGCTCCTTACAAGCAGCCACCAGTCCACCGGAGGCTGGTTGAATCTTCATATTTACTCGCTTTACCAATGATATTCTTCTTGACTTTGATGGAGGGCTTTCATTTTCAATTGGAAAGTCATTCTCACTATCTTTCCAGCTATTAACGTTCTTCTTATAGCCTGGAGATTGAGTATCTTTTATGGGAGATGCATTCTTCATGTTTACTCGCTTTACTAAGGATATTTTTCTTGACTTCGATGGGGGGCTTTCATTTTCACTCGCGAAGTCATTCTCACTATCTTTCCAGCTATTGTCAGTCTTCTTATAGCCTGGAGATTGAGTCTCTTTTATGGGAGATTCATTCCTCATGTTTACTCGCTTTACCAAAGATATTCTTGACTTCGATGGAGGCCTCTCATTTTCACTCGGGAAGTCATTCTCACTCTCTTTCCAGCTATTGACTGTCTTCTTGTAGCCTGGAGATTGTGTGCCTTTAAGTTTCTTAACTAGCGAAATTCTTCGTAACTTTGATGAAGGGCTCACACTAACACAGCCATAGTCTTCCACATTATCCTTCAGTAGATCTCCTGAGGGTCCCAATTTTTTCTGAACTGAACATAATCGGGTCACCGTATCAATGGCTTCTTGGTTGCCAACCTAGGAAAAACCATCAACATCAAAGTTTGAAAGGACTGACTTTCATAATTTTCAACAGGAATATAGGCTCGGATACCTCATTCATGCTACAGGGATATATACATGATATGCCATTAACGTTGATGCTAATGCTGCAAAAGTGAAAATAAATGGAAACTAATAAAATCTAATACGGTGACCTAAATCTAATATCGGTGACCTAACCTAAGTTTTATCCTAAAACATATGCCATCCCAACGCCTGAACCAGCGTATCTGCTAAGATCACAAAGACCTATTTATGCAAAATTCAAGTCAATATAAAGTAAATTCAGAACTATTAAGGTGGACCTGAGATGAGCTAAGATAAGAATGTGCCTGTTTTAAAGATTAGTCCATAATTTAACATGGATTTTTTCATGCATGAAAATCTCTCTGCATACCTCTCCCCACAGTCCATCCGAAGCCAATACAAGAAATTCCATATCTGGAGTGAGCTGTAGGATCTTTGTTTCAGGCTCAGCCAGCACCCAGTCTTTCAGATGAGCATCTCCAATGCTTCTAGAAACAGAAAGAACCCCATGAACTCTCCATGCTCCTCGGTGGAACTCTACATATCCTCCCTGATCACAATATCAACAATTATCATCAAATACTTTAAGTTGTCTCTTGTATGTCAGTACCATGTAATGTAATTGTGACAATGATTATGTTAAAAACCTCATTCTCTATTCGTTTGCGTTCGTCCTCCTGTTCTGCCGTATGATCCAAGGTAAGAGCCTCCGCCACTCCACCTCTACAAAGAACAGCCCTGCAATCCCCCAAGTTTGAAATAACGACCTCTTGCCCTTCAATTATGGCTGTGACACAGCAGGTACCACTTCCTAAACCCTGCATTTACTCGCAGCCATCAATAAAGATTTCCATAGTACAAAAGATCAGGAAAGAAGACCAAGCATTGTCAGCGAATTACCTCCAATTGGTAATAAAATATGCCTAATATTACATTTATTCAGAGCTAACAACATTACCTTCGACAATTAACGAAACGCACTCAGATGGGAATCAATTCATATGCGCTGAACACCATTTCTTTTCTATGAATCAGGACTAATCATCAATGAAGTTTTCTAAACGAATTGGACCGAATCCTCACTTTTTAAAATTTTAAATGTCAGATTAAAGGCTCACATCTCTAACATTAATCAGTCGTGAACATCAAATAAAGAATCCAGAATTGCAATTACCTGTTTCAAGAACTCCTGGTCTGTTTTCAGATACCCAGCTTTAATCGCCTCTTCTATTTCTGTATGCACTTCCATCATTTCAAGAATATTATTGTGCAAATTGTCAGCAACAAAATCTGCAGCCTTCTTGCCACCATGCCCATCATACACCCCAAAGAAACCCTGCACATGAACAACGCAAAAACCAAATTACAATTAAAAAATAACTCTAAAAGATAGTAGATATATAAGCATATAAATAAGGGAAAACCATAAAGATTTTGGCAATTTGTTTACCTTCTTGGAGTTGTTGCCTTGTAAGCAAGAAACTATCTTGTGGGTATCTTCCATAAACTTTTTCTTGCCTTTGGCGGCGGAGACCCCAACTCCAATCCCACTGAAGCAGACGGCGTCGTTCTCTGGCGTGAAATCTCGGAGCTTTTCGGTTTTAATTTCTTGCAAGACGTTTGGGATCTCAATCATGGGGGGTCTCTTCCGCTTCAGAGAAGAAGAAGCGGTAATGGGATCTACTGTGGCGGTAACCGCTGAAGACTCAGAATGAGAAAGGAGGAGTTCTGAGCTCGCCATTGTTGTACGGATTGTTGTCGTTGTTGCCGAGAGAGAGAGAGAGAGAGGCAGAAACAGAGGCTCCCAACGGCTATATAAAAATGTGACAGAAAGTAACGGGCTGGAGTGAAGTGGGAAGTCAAAGCAAGGATTTGAGGGGGCAGTTAGGGTTCGTGGGGTCAAACTAGGAGCCGTTAGGAGTGCGGTCAGAACTTTGAAATAAATTTGGTTCGAGAAAATTTTTCGCAGATGAATTTAACAGAAAAAACAAAAATTTCAAAATATGAGTTCATAGTTTTTATAACAATGTTTGACTCCTTTTTTAACCAAAATAATAATTTTTTGACTAATTCTGTTGGGGAGTTTTTTTATTTTTAATAAACGATAATAATCATTGATGAAAAAAGTATAAGGCTCAATCTGATGAATATAAGTAAATCAATTTATCGATTAAAATATATTAAAATGAATAAAATTCATCATTAAATTACTTTTTAAATACAGATGAAAGTTCAATCAAGTAAGGTGCCGAATATGAATAAATCAATTCATCACTTAAAATTGATATATATATATATATATATAGCCCCGATCTTTTGGACCACACGACAGTTGCTACCGCATTGAAGTATCTATATTTGAGTTAAGACAATTGACTACAGTAAGTAGACCGTTTCTTGCACCGAAATTAAAGTAACTTAAACTACATCTTGTATTTTAAAAAATCATACGAAAAGCTTTAATAAATTCTTAACCATGAAGACGAAAAGGAGGATAAAGGTTTAAACCAAAAAAATTGGATAAAGGCTTTTATTTGAACAGCGTAGCGCCAAGTGGGACGCAGTCTTCAACCAGAAAAGCTATTATAAAAAAATGTGGGATGTGGAACGGTGTCGTTTGAAGGAAAATGGCATTCAGTAATTTCGGTTAGGCTACTTTGTCGGTTTGCCTGCTTAGCTTAAGCCTTGAACGGAAAATCAGTTGCATTTATCGGCAGATTGACTCTTACCTCCGTCCACTCACTCTGACTCGCTCCACTGAACTCAGCGCAGCTTCCTCCTCCTCCTTCTCCAAATGCTTCTTCTCTCTGCAACCACTCACCAACACCCATCAATTTCCACTTCTACGCTCCTCTTTCCCTCTATTTGCCACAAACTCCCCGCCTCCGTCAAACCCAACGCCACCTCCGCTCACAGACCCCATGACCTCCTGATCACCAACGCCTTCTCACCCTCCTCCCTCCAAAACCCTAACCCTAGCACCCCCCAGACCATCCGCCACGTCACTCACTCTGCCTCCGATGGCGAACCCGAAGCCAATTCCATGGTCCCCTCTGCCTCCGCCGTCGCCTCCGCCATTCGCAGAGCCTCCACCTCCCCCGTTGACTTCATACAGAGAATCGAAAAGGAACAGAAGAGAGGCATCGTACTCCCCAGCCCCGATTTCCAGAGACTCTGTATTCAACAGTTGGACATCTTTCGCCGAATCGTCGATCCCGATGCTCTCCTCTCGGTCAGTTTATGGAAAAGAAGATAATATCGTTCATTAATTACATTCCCAAATTAGCTAGTGCAGTTTTTGTATTATTAATTTTGAATTATATATATGTATAGGTGTATGTAAGGCCAGCTGGTAGTTATGTGATGGACCGATTGGAGCTTCGTCGAGTAACTTGCCATCCGGGAGCTAAGTCATCAGACATCGTGATATTAGTTGGCAGTTTCAGTGTTGCCACTGGTTTTCGCGCCGCCGAAGCAGTGCTTTCCAATCACAAAGTAGATGACTGATTTTTTTGGTTTTAGACTTTATTTTAGTTGTTGATTGATAATGTACATTGTTACTGAGTATATTCAGTTGGAAATTGAATTTTGTAGGTGGAAGTTATAGCTGAGTTGAAAGCTGCGGTTTTCCCCATGGTGAAGCACCCCTTTGTGGTGGGCTTCTTGGTTGCTGAATTTCCCAGGATGGAAATGCCGCCACCTGGCGGGAAAGTTCAGTGTGAGGGCTGTGATTTGATTCACCGCCTGACTCCTGAGGAAGCCTATGCTTTGCCTCCGAGCTCCAATATCAAATCTTGGGATACTCAGAATCTGGAGGATCAACCAGAGCCATTATTAACAATGTACAACTTTAGTGCTGAGCAGAGATCAAATGCTATCAACATTTCTCGGTCTTTAGCGATGGCATATGTTATGGATCAGGTAGTGTGTGCTATACAGTCAAAATGCAGTATTAACTGTGAAATAATGCGGGCATGACTACTTTTTTTCTTTTAAAGTCCATTTATCTTAATTTCTTAGAGAAATGCTTACCTCTTTTGCAGAAAGCGATGCTCCTCCAGCAATCATCTTGGCAGAACAATGTCAGGATGAGTAGTCTGGTTGAACAAGTAAGACAACTGTTGTTGCATTTGCGATTTGGGATTTGTATGTTCTTATGGAGTGATTGTAATTTTCCTATTGTCGTGTGTTCTTCCAGATTCGTGGTCCTCTTTCTAGCCTTCAAACTTTAAGTAAAATGTTATCCATGCATATGAAGAGAAGTGAGGTTTGCCTTCTTATATAACTTATTTTAATTTTTAGCTTGCCGATATTCATTTCATGTCCTATATTTACATTGGAATTATATGCTTATGCAGATTTCTTATGACATTGTTGAAGATATACGGGTGCAAGGTGACCATATGAAAGATACCCTTCAGCAACTCCAGGATGCTGTTTACTTAACCAAGGCACTTAATCTCTCTCTCTCTCTCTCTCTCTCTCTCTTTTTACTTGACGCAGACTTATATATATATATATATATATATATATATAAATTCTCATGTCACTAAGGCTTCTTATACTTTCTTCAAGGAGTCATAGTCTGTTTATAAGCAGTTTTCAAGTATTCATTTTGCCATTTTTAGGACACTGGCCCTACTGTTGTATGCCTTTTTAACTTATCCTGAGATATGCAGGTTCAATATATTCTTTGACCCTGAGACTGATAATAACTTTAAATTTTTTAAGTTCTTCTATATTATTCTCTCTATGTGCTAGACACGCTAACTTTTTCATGTGATTTTTCTAGGCTAGTATCATGCGCTACGGTGAACATGATTCAACATATTCCTATCCTGACTTAGGGAAGCATCAGTTATTGAATAACCTTCCCAAGGATAGTTCCAGCATTAAGATGCAAGTTCCAGGTGAACAACTTTCTCTAAATGCTGGAGCCAAGGATATGGAGATGCCCATGCCTCCTCTAGCCCTCGCTCCTTTACAGCAACATGGAATTAGGTAGGTTATAAATTCTGAGATTCATCACTTCAGATTGCAAAGAAAATGAAAAATAAAATAAAACTGTGTATTTCACTACAGTTTTCATGACTGCATACGGCTCCTTCGCTTGGCACGAGAGTTTTTAAAACATGCAATTTTCATTTTGCTAACGCCTGTCAATTATGTCAGGAAGACCATGCAATGTTTCTGATATACTGGCAGATTTGGTTGAAGCTGTAAGACCTCTTGCCCAAAACCAGCAGCGTGTAGTAGAACTGAATGAACTTGAAACATCATTGCAAGTTGCTGTAGAAGAACCTGCTTTGCGACAGGCTCTGAGCAATTTAATTGAGAGTGCATTATTGCGTACGCATACTGGGGGAAAGGTAGAAATTGTGTCTACCGGAGCACCGGCAGGTGGTGTTCTTGTAGTAATTGATGATGATGGGCCTGATATGCACTATATGGTAATAGTTGCAAACTTTGAACTATGCTAACTTTATCTTCTATATACAATACAAATTAGAGAATTAAGTTTTCTGCTATTCATCATTTGTCACTCACCACATACTGTTGGTCATAGATTTATTGTATTGTTGGTGTATTTTTCTTCAGACGCAGATGCATTGTCTCACTCCTTTTGGAGCCGATCTCTTATCAGAAAATATGGTTGAAGACAACATGACATGGAACTTTGTTGCTGGACTGACTGTTGCTCGTGAGATACTCGAAAGTTATGGCTGTGTTGTCCGTGTCATATCACCCCGAACCGCAGATGCTCCCCTTGGAGCAGGTGGAACTCGAGTAGAACTCTGGCTTCCTTGTATCATGGAATTATCCAGGATTAATGGCCCTGCTCAGGAGGCGTAGCTGTGTAGCAAGAATTGAAACTGTCCGCGGTAAGATTGTTGTACTTGTATGGAATAGAGAATTAATCCTGCCTCTATCTGATGATTTGCGAGAATGAGGTGGTAGAATTTGGAAAATGTTTCATCGATGATGCATCTAAAATTTGCAATTTCGAGGAAGTTGTGTATAGATTTTACTCCCCTTTCCACAACATGAAAACTCTTGTACAGAAATAAGCTGAAATAGGGCTATTGGAAGGCGCATTTATGGACCAACTGTTGTTTTATAATTCCATCACTCATATGTAAAAGTTTTTACATAGCTTACAAACTTACTGGCTACAATGACTTACAGACTTCGATTATTGAGCGTGTCTACTTGTATTCATCAATTCATCAATATACCTTTCCTAAATTGATGGAGGGGTTATTTTTCTTTTTTGTATTTTAGTTTCTGGGTTTATATTTGGTTATGACGCATCGTTTACATATTTTAATGAAATATTTGGTCATATCATTTGAAATTAAATAAAATATAAAAAAAGTCAAGTCTCTGTGCGTGTGCTACAAACCTGGTTGTTTGGGTCATTAACCAACTCCATCAAACCCACAGGGACAGTATTGAATTGGCCCACATAGCCAGTTTCCTCCATTTGTGGCCTCTCGACTAATCAGTGGATGGCCTAACTTGATAAAAATTTATAAGGATCGATCGAATACTCATGTGTTTAAGGATTTTTAAGAAATCATGAACTTATACACGACTAATATTTGAGATTTGGTTTTTCAAAAGAGGATGCGAACCAGTCAATCCTTAAAACAATCATGAAATCATTTTAAAACAAAACAATGTTTAACTCCAAAGTTCTTCGCTGTCCATGTCCGTGAGCTTACTCATCATGACAAAGGACCCTACACTACACCTGCAGCCAAACCCCTAACCCCACCACATTGGTGCACGACTGCCCAACGCCTAAACGCGTCAAATCCATCTCATCGCTTGGCGGATTTGGTTACTTGGCTTTTTCTTTTAAATAAAAAGAATCATTAGAATTGGTTTCGTTATACAAATTAACCCTTTTCTTCTTTTAACAAATTTTTGTTCATTTTTTATACAAGTGATATTTGAGGATGGATTATTCGAACACAAAATCTCAGGTATAATGATAATTGCTCTTAAACACTTAAGCTACAGACCTGTATATATTTTGTTCATTTATTTCTCAAATTTTATATAAATTATATGCCAATTATGTCGTGATCATATAGAGTTGTTGGCCAATAAATTCTATCTTCCTTATCTGAATAGGAAGGAATGATCGATACTCTTCCCATGGCATTCTCTTTGACACATTAAAATTCTTTACTTTGCAAGCAATGTAATTTCATATTAACTTTGTTTAGATCCAGATAATTTAGACCAAACATCTTTTGTAACTATCAATTAGTCAACAATAATTAAGATCCCATTTAATAACCATTCTGCTCATTGCAGTCACCTCTGGGGTTCTTCGCACCTGGATAGTACCAGGACCCTTGTGCCCCGGCCCTTGATCAGATAAAGCTGCCTGCCCTATGACCCACAACTAAAAATGAGCCTTGCGACGAGACGCGGGCATTCCTCAATCCCAACTCTCTTATCTGGTGCAGAACCAGCCCTAGAGCTATTGCCAGATTTCATCTCAAATCGAGCTGCAGTTCTTCTTTCCGGGTGGATTTTTAGTTTCCAATTTCTAGTTTCTAATTTTCAGTTTTCATTTTTTTAAAAGTGAAAACAAAAATTATTTAAAAGTTGTTCGGTAATTGATTTCAATTTTCAATTTTTTGGGGTCAAATTATGAATTTGAGATCATATAATGAAAATGCATGCTTCAAAGAGTTCTTGGTATTTTTCAATGAGTTTTTTTGGAGTTAGGATGATTTTATTTTTTTTGTGAATTTTGGATATGGAGGTCTCAAGGCTTTGCATGGGTCTGCAGCCAAACGCAAGAGTCGAGAGGAATGGTCCAAGTCGAGAGGTCTCAAATACCGAATTTTGGTAATTGGAGTGCATTATATGTATGGTGGTGATGTAAAATTGTTGAATGAAAAAGAAGAAGAAAAAAAACTGAAAACTGAAATTGTTACCAAACATGTTTTAAAAAATAAGGGTGATTTTGAGAACTAGTTTTCCCTTAAAAAAAACTGAAAACAAAAACTGTTACCAAACATGTTTTCAATTTTCATTAAAAAAAAATGAAAATGAAATGTTTATCAAACAAACCCTAAGTTTTTTTTCTTTTTGAATTAATAAAACTTGATGAATGTATTATACTATTTTTATTAAAATTAGCCTCTCAGCACGCACTTCCGCGCCTGTGAGAGGTTTTTTTTTATAAATAAAAATAAATTTATTTTAGAATTAAAAAATATAATGGGTAGTTGTGTTTCATAAAAATAAGATTTATTATCTGATTTTTTCCTTTTAATTTTAATTTTTTTTTAATATGAAAATGTGTGAATTTACCATGATATCATCATTTAATTAATAATTTTAATTCTTAATATTTGGATTAACCGAGGACATTTTGTGATATTTTGAATGTTTTACCATTCTTTGTTTTTTGCTTTATATATATATAGATATATAGATGATGTGGCTACAGCATTTCCGAACATGTCGTTGTGGGCCCCTCTAAATAGTATTTGGGTACCACGTTGAAGCACCAAACCAAAATGGCTGGAGGTGGGGGGCCCACTTGTGGACTGGCTGGCCCTCAAACGTTAATTCCGGGGCAGCCCTAGACATGCGGCTCCTCTTATTGGACGGGTCAAACTTCAAAGTCAACCAAAGGAAGGTGAATGATTGCTTCCTATGCCTCTTTGAATCTTCTCTACCGTCCGATGGACTCCAATGAATGTGGAAATCTATGGACGGGCATAGTCAATGATTTAGGCAGCCTCATAAAATCGCATGTCGACTGTATCTCCGAAAAAATTCTGATTCCCTGATTAATAATTAATTGTCTTATGAAACGGTTTATATGGTTGTTGTTATCAAGACTTGTTTTTTTATATATAAAAAATTCTCATCTATATAAAGCAAAATACAGATAATGGTAAACATTCAAAATATCAGAAAATGTCATTGATTGATACAAACATTAAGAATTGAAATTATTAATTAAATGAGGATAATATAGTAAATTCATATTTTTTCATATTTAAAAAAATTAAAATTAAAAGAATGAATTCTATTTTTATGGAACACAACTACCAATTATTATTTTTAATTATTTTTTAAAAAAACCTCTCTCAACCCGGAATCACGTGCAGAGAAGCTAGTTATTAATAAGGTAAAAGAAAAAGTTGAAACAAAATGCTATATTCTTATTTGAAATGGTATATTTTTTAGTGCATCGTTCATAGGCACTTATATTTGAAAAAATGTTGGCAATATAATCCTATTTATTTATTCCTTAAAAAATCATATTTATTTATTCCTAAAAAAAATTACTTAAAATGTCTCTAGAATCTCCAATCCTTGAACCTTTCTATTAGCTAGTGAGAGTGTGGTAGGAAATGATAGTATTGGTATATAATCCTACATTATTATTTTTTTTTCCTTTTTAAGTGTATGAGTTGGTGGGTACAAAGGAAGGAAAAAAAAAGCTAACCATACTTACCCATTTAATTTAAATTTTTTTGGGCAGTGTTTTGTTGAGATAAAATTTTTTTTTTCATAATATTTGGAATTTATACAAGTATTTTGTGAAACAAAAAAAAAAATTACAGACAGTTATAATCGAATAACTGCCAATAGCTAACTCATTTTCTCGAAATAAATAATCGAGAGAGATAATATAAATTTAAAATTAAGTGTTTCATCAATGCATAATACGGAAATATAGTTCGAGGGTATTGATTACGCTAATTTTAGACCGGCAATGATTGGCACAAAAAATTTACAGTTCTGTTTTTTTGGTAAAAAAAATTATCCTAAATTAATTTGGTTTCCTTTATTCGTTGACTGCAATTATGCAAAGGCAGGACACAGTAGACTTGACCTCCTTCCTACAATTTTCTTTACAAATTCAAAACATAAAAGCAAAAACAAAAACCCAGCATTAACAGAAAAAAACAAAAAACAAAAAACAAAAAAACCAAGTACATTTGCTTCTAGTTGCTGAATCGAGAATTGTAATTATCTTTAGGTATTGCGTGATTCTCTCTAGTTCAATTTAATCACACAGGAAGATTTACTCATATTCAATACATCATTGTTTTATACTTTTGTTTGTTTATGAGTAAAAAAATCATCGCTTATTCTAAAGAAACAACAACAAAAGCAAGAAGAAAAGTCTAAAAAGCAAAAGCACTGAAAAGCCGTTGCATTTTGCTTATGGAAATGATAATAATAAATAGGGGGGGTTTCACTAAAACACCCAAAATGGAGGTTGAAATTATAAAAAAACCCAACACCCAAAACACTTTATAAACACACCCAAAACCCATCATTACACACACTCAAAACCCATTTATAAACACACCCAAAAAGTTGACTTTGGGGTTGATTTTGGGTGTGTTTCTATGTTTAAATAGTACTTGGGTTTTTTTATAAATACATGTCTAGGATTGGGTTTATTTATAAATTTGTATAATAAATATAAGTGGGTTACCAATTAAGGAGGGATCACGAGTCTGGTTAAGGTCAAAATCCTAATAAAATCCATTTTGAAAATAAGTTAGGTTGGTAATTCGCAATCCGTTTTTCTTACTTATTGAATTTAATTTGAGATCTCTGGAGAGATAATTATAAAATCCCCATATTTCTCTCCTTGTGTTTCCCTCCCGAGTCCAGCCAAGTCTCCCAGCTCTCTCATCATTTCACATACAACAATACAAATCGTCACTGCCAAAGGCCCAAAGCCAAACACACACACAAACAACGCAACCCTCTGCAAAATCACAAAATCATAGTTTTCTTGCTCTCAAACTGAAATTGCTGCTTTGCGTTTTTCTTATTTTTTAACATCTTTTTATTATTTCTCTCACGCTAATTGTGCCCCGAGATCACCAAGTCCTGCAAGTGCTTTTTCGCGTGATTCTCAGCTTCTGAACCACTTTTCTCTACAGCAGATCTTGCTTAGCTATTCAACTATATGAGGTCAGTTTTGTTCTTTTTCAATTTCTCTGATTCACTTTTTACGCTTCTGTTTGGATACTGAGATTAAAAAAGAAAGAAAAAAAAAGGAGAGAGGTAGAGTGCTGCTCAGCTGAGCTCGATTGGTTGTTTAGCTTCTGATATTTGCATTTGATTTTTTTTTTTCTGCGTTTATTTTCAGCTTGAATTGGTTTGATTGCCACAGCTTTAAGCAATCCGAGATATCAATTTTTTTATTATAATTTATTTTGTTTCGCTATTTAAGAATTTGCTAGATCCTTGTACTGTTTCGTTTGCGGTTTTGGTCGTGGAGTTTTATATTTAATTTTTAAGGTATGAGATGTTTGATCGGAAAGGCTTGATGAGTACATTGCATATGTTTGATTATGTGAGCTAACTTAGTGATCGGGTTTATGCTTTTGGTCGTTGTGTCTTTATCTTTGAAATTAAGCAAGCCCAGCTGCTTGTCTGTCCTAATTATAACAGTGGGGGAGGAAGTGGGTCTTTGTTATGTAGTTTGGGTGTTAATTCAAAGGGAACCCGTGGTCTACTTTACCATGGAGGGTTTTGAATGGGTGTTTGATTTGTGACTTTGTTTTAGCTACTGATTGTCAAATGGTAGCACATGGTTGCTTCTTTCTCGGCAGAGTTCTTGTAGAGGGCAAAGAGGAACGAGCACATGATTTCTTGCTTCTTGTTTCTCTATATTGCGTTTGAAGAATGCCTATTCAAAAAGGTCTAAGTATAAGTATGCTGTTTCTGCTGTTAAATGGTCCATGTATTCTGCGGGTTCGATTTGAAGCACAGGGAAAGGTGAGATGTTGTTATTGAGAGAGATATAGAGAAAATATCTTACGGGAGCTCCTTAACCTTTTCATAGTATAATCAATAATGTTAGGTTAGCAGCTTTGGGTTGTGAGTTGTAAGTGCTATACCCATCTACTTTTACGATTTTGTCAACCCTCTGATATATGTTGTTTTGATAGAAACAAATGTTCAGGTCATTCTCGTAGTTGTATAATCTTGTATTACTGAGTCGTAGAGTCTTGCTTAAATTGTTGTGTTCCTTCATGAGGGTCATCATTTCTTTTAAGGGGAATTCTCAACTGAAAACCTGCTAAATAATGCAGATCAGCTATCGCTTTCTACTTGCAGTTCATTTTTCCGTGAATTTATAGTCAGAAGCTTGTAAATAACATGGGAACCCTTTCACGCAGGTTAAATTTTGTGACAGTCTATTTTCATCGGAATGAGCTAACTTTTGTTGCTCTTTAAATTTATTTTAGAGACCTGATCTTCTCTAACTGCATTTGCATCTTGTTGGCTGCAGTGCGGGTGGTAGAAAACCAAACGAGACTATGAGGCTAATTGTGACAACTTTTGTAGGAGTAGTTTTTGGATTCTTGATAGGTGTATCCTTTCCAACCTTGTCATTAACAAAGGTGCACTAATTTTTTTGTGGGTATCTGTTACGCTTCGCTTTAATACTTACCCAGATGATGAAACATGATTAATGTGTGTAAAATTTGACAGCTGAACCTCTCATCCAGCCTTCTTCCAAATGTTGATCTGTCGTACAATGAGGACCAGAAATCAGACATCTCCAGGCAAACAATTCTAAATGCTTGGTCTTCTACGAGGAGTAATGATAGCTCAACTAAAGCTCAGAGTTCAAATGGTACAGCAAGGGTATACCTCCTCTCCCTGATATTAGCAGTAGTAGAAATTCCGAAATGACAGGTTTTACATCACTGTTAACTCTGTATGTTACTAAGGGGTGCATTGAATCTTAGCTACTTCGTAATTCAAATCCAGAACCAGTTCAATAAATGTATTTGAGGTTCTTGCGCTGTTCTACTACAGTACCTAAATTGGCTTTTGATTTTGGTCAAACGGGAGGGAAAAGTATCATTTTTGGTCAGTCCCAACTGGAGATGATCTGGTTTAATAGTATTGATCGTTTGATCATCATTCCATTAAGCTCAATAAGGACTTCCTTAAAATAGAAGTAAATCTTTCCAAGGTTAATTGTTGTAGTTCTTGGATTATAGCGTGGGAGCCATGATTCTCAGCTGAACCCGCTCTCATTGATATGATTTGGAGAAGAGACAGATTGAGAAAGAAGGGGTTTCATTTCCCTGATATTGTTCACAATCTTCTCTCATTACTTTTATATTCCTTGTAAGATGAGGTGGCTTCATGTAATCACTGAATCATATATGCAATCTTGTACTTGCATGCTGGGACTATTTTGCTTCGTTTTCATGTTGTTTTACTATGAGGAGAGGCCTGATAATTGCTGAAAATATGAGTATCATTTCCAATATAGTTCACAGCTTCCTCTTCTGGCATTCCAAATTCTCATTATATAGGCATTACTTATCTGAAGTTTACATTGCCTGCAGATTTGGGTGCCGTCAAATCCTAGAGGTGCAGAAAGACTACCACCAGGAATTCTTGCAGCTGAGTCAGACTTCTACTTGCGCAGATTATGGGGCAAGCCCAGTGAGGTGTGTATTCTGCTGTTACTTATGCAATCAACATAGTTACAATTTGGACTTTCCACAATGCCTGGAATGGTCCAATATATACTGAAGATAATGCAGAATGAATGGTGTTAATGGATTCCATTAGCATTTGGTGTTCAGGGAACCATTTTTTGATATGGAGTTCTCTGTTATCCTGATTTGAGTTACTCGGTAATTTATATGGCTTCCAGAAAAAAAAAATATATCATTTGACATGTACCTGGTGATGTTTTTATGAATAATTTGATTTCTTCTTCTTCTTCTTTTTTTATTTTATTTTTTTATCTACCTCTTGGGTAGAATTTTTGTTTTTGGAGGCATAAAGATACTTCTGATTTCAATATACTGCACCGTGATTCATTTAAGTTGGCAATTGCAGGACTTGACCATCAAACCAAGGTACCTTGTAACATTCACTGTGGGTTTGAATCAGAAAAAGAATATTGATGCAGCAGTGAAAAAGGTCTCTCTCTCTCTCTCTCTCTCTCTCTCTCTCTCTCTCTCTCTCTCTCTGAGGTGGACGTGTCTCACTGAATATGTTTCTCTCACAGTTTTCAGAGAACTTTACAATTCTTCTTTTCATTACGATGGCCAAACAACTGAATGGGATGAGTTTGAGTGGTCTAAGCGAGCTATACATGTTAGTGTCCGTAAGCAGACTAAATGGTATGCACAATTGCTGACTACTATCTGTACCTCAATAATGAATTGTTTCCTTGGTTTATGACTTTAAATTTTTTGTCAAAGGTGGTATGCCAAGCGATTTTTGCATCCTGACATTGTGGCCCCATATGACTACATATTTATCTGGGATGAAGACCTGGGAGTCGAGCATTTTAATGCAGAAGAGTGAGTGTTGGTTACAAAGTTATTCTTTTAGGTGAATTTATTAGCCTACTAAACAACTTTCTTATGCCTCCCTTTGCAATCTAATTTCAGATACATAAAACTTGTGCGGAAGCATGGCTTGGAGATTTCACAGCCTGGTTTGGAACCCAACAAAGGCTTAACATGGCAGATGACAAAGAGGAGAGGCGATCGTGAAGTGCACAAGTAAATCATGAGACCTAAACTGAAATTTATTTATATCAGATTTAGTTTAAAATTTAGGGAATAATCTTGTAATCCTTGTTCCCAATTATTCCAGACAAACAGTGGAAAAACCTGGCTGGTGCACTGACCCACATCTGCCTCCATGTGCAGCGTAAGACATTAAGATATTAAAGAGGGCATTTTAAGTGTTGTTTGTATAAGATTTGATCCTATACTTCCCTTTTGTCTGACATTTGTGTTTGCTTGTTTTAATTCAGGTTTGTTGAAATCATGGCTCCGGTATTTTCTAGAAGTGCCTGGCGCTGTGTGTGGCATATGATTCAGGTATTAAATATTGTAACTTGTTCGTTATCACCGCTTGTTTGTGTCCTTAATTGATTTAGCAGGCTTGTTACCTAATTTTATTATTGCAATACTTGATGATTGCAGAATGACTTGGTCCATGGGTGGGGTCTTGACTTTGCCCTGAGAAAATGTGTAGAGGTGAGTGACCCACGTTCTATCCTTCCTGGTGGGATTCCAAGGGAACTCAAAGTTAATTTTTTTTCTTTCTTGAAAACAGCCTGCGCATGAGAAGATAGGAGTTGTAGATTCTCAGTGGATTGTTCATCAAACCGTTCCCTCACTTGGAAGCCAGGTAAATAGCACTTTCTATCATTTCTCATTTCCTTATTAAACAATTTTTCAGATAATAGAACGAAATACTTAATCATTTTTGGCTTTCGGTAGGGTGAAACGCAAAATGGAAAAGCACCATGGCAAGGGGTATGTAGAGTTTCTTATTCTAACGATACAAGGGTTATCTATTGGACACCAAATATATTTAACTGTTTGTTGGTAAAACGCATAAATAAGTTTGCTGATAGCACTATTGTATATTTACTGGTCCCAGGTGAGGGAAAGGTGCAGAAAGGAATGGACAATGTTCCAGATGCGCGTAGCGAATGCGGAAAATGCGTATTTTAAGGCCATCGGGGTTGATCCTTCCAATTCGACAACCCATTAGGAAGAGCGACGATGACAGAGCTGCTATACACTCAATGATCTTGACCTCTATCACGCTTAGAGTTTTACATAAATTTGTAAAATCCATTATAATCGCCATATTCATTAATTGACAGTCACAGTTTTAGGCCTCGAGTAAAACACGACGTCAATTAAATCCTTTAGAGTTTCGGTGCTCAGTGACCTCTACTTTGAGTGGGGTGCAACATATTATTGTTAGAGATATGTGCTTGTTAATTAAACATATACTATATACCAATAAATTCGAATTTTAAAGAGCCGATAAATTCTGCTACGGTAGAACCAAGTATTGTAATTTTTTCAGGTGCAATTGTAATTAGTTTAACCAAGTAAAATGTAAGGAGCTGGGTTGTTGTGGACTTGTAGCTAGAGATGTGCTAGCTAGTTACCATGGTAAAAGGTTTTGCCAGGCAAAATGTAGGGGAGGATTGGATTTGAAGACCACCTTCATTTCACGCGGCTTCTTGTTTCATGAAGAGCCAGATCTTGTCGCGTAATGCCTACAACTGTGGTCACAACTCACTAAATCCTAAGAAAAAGATGCAAATAAAATTTGTTTGCGTCTTCGTATCACGGTCGTGCAAAAGTGCAGCAAAATTCTTTGGCATTTTGGGTCACATTTTCAGATGAAAATCTCTCTTGATAGTGGGATTTCAGCCACCGAATCTTTGAGCACCTCTCTAACAGTAGCTAGCTATTACCAAGCTGCCAACATCTATTTGAACCCTAATACAAGATACACTTGAGAATAACTTACTGAAATGCTAAAAACAGTTATCCGTGCTAAAACCCTAAATCCGAACGTCTGACAGACAGTTACTCACGCTGCGCATGGATAATTGTTAGCAACAGCACACGGTAAGTATGATTAGAGCATTACAAACATGTTCAGTAATCTGAACCAGACAACTCGTGGGCTGATATTTTTGTGGTGTGATGTTTGCTTGATCTGTGTCAAAATTCTGGTGAGAATGCGATGGCTCACTGTCACTGCAATGAATTTCAGAACGCGCACACAATTAGAAACACGTTACAACTGTCCGTGAGCAAGCAAAATCTATCAAACATTAATTGAATCAGGGTTGTTTTTGGGCAGTGGTGATGATTTTTTAGCATAAAAACGTGGACCACTCGCTTGGTTCCGAGAAGAAGAAGATATCAAATCATAAATATTATAGAAAAATATTGATTATTTGAGGGATATATCAATATATATTTGACAGACGTTCGGACTATATATAGAAGGAAACTATATATAGAAACTAATAATAATAATATTATTATTTATTTATATATATATATAAACAAATAAAAGGATATATATTGATATACCGACAGAGCCCCTCCACAAAATCATTGGTCTTCCACTCGGCTACTCCTCCCGGAATCAAGAAACTTCCACGCAACAACTGGAAGGTCGCAAAACCTGCCACAACTCACCAACCCATTGGCCCTCCCAAAAGCTCCGTGGACACGTGGCGACGTCAATTTTACCCTTTTTGTGCCAGTGAAAATGTCAGCTTTTAATTTTTATTTTTCACTCCATTATATCAAAAATAACCAGTCACTATCTAAGCCTTTCACAGAACCTTACACGTGTCGCCACGTGTTGCATTTGAGTCAAGAACCATGGTTAAATCCGTCATCTACCGTGGTTAACATGTTGGTGGCTATGGATGAGCCTTTAGGTCTATTTATCAGCAAGCCCAAGTTGGTTTTAGTACTAGGTGTGTGGTTTTGGGCTTGTCATTTGGAAAAGCCAATTCCTACTTCCCATCCCATTTTTCCCCTTTTTTGGTGCCTCTCTGAGAGACTCTTCATTTGTTCCATAGATTTTGCAGAAACTGAGAGGTGTTCTCTGGTTGTGGGGAATTGTGGGTGTCTTGAGAAATTAACAGAGAAGCACAAATGGGGCTCTCAAATTTTCCTAGTGCAGCAGAGGGTGTGCTTCCAGTGCTGGTTATGAACACAGTTTTGTCAGTGGCTCTGTTAAAGAACATGGTAAGATCTGTGCTCCAAGTGATGGGTGCCAATGTGAATTCTCAGAGTTTTGAGGAAAACCCAGATGGGTGCCCAGCAGAGATGATTGCAAGAGAGAGAAGAATCTCCATTTCCCAGTTCAAGTCTCTGTGCCACAGCAACAGAAACAGCAGGCCCAACAATACTTGTGTGGCCAAAACAGACAGTTGGGCAATGGAGTGTTGTGTTTGTCTGTGTGGTTTTGAAGCTGAGCAAGAGGTGAGTGAATTGTCCTGCAAGCATTTCTTCCACAAAGGTTGCTTGGAGAAGTGGTTTGACAACAACCATTCTACTTGCCCTCTCTGCCGCTCTGTTGATTAGATATACAATAACTCTACAGAGGGTCTTTTACTAAGATGAGTTTTTTTGGCTTTGGAAGCATTTCAGCTGTACTTTTGTTTTTGTTTTTGGGCCTTCTCCTTCCCTCTTATTTTTTAGCACAATTAGAGAAAAGTTCTTTAACAATGTTGCTTTGCTTTATTTTGTGTGTACAAGTACCAAGAAGATTAAAAATAATAAAAGAAGCAGGGGATTTGAGGCATTAATTTAAAGCTTTATCTGTGGTTTCTTTGGCTTCTGTTTCTGCTTCCCCCACATCTTCAATCTGGAGCAGAAGGTTTGGGACTTGGAATTGGACAGAAATTGTCTGAGGTAATTCCTCCACCACAAAAAAAAAAAAAAAAAAAAAAAAAAAAAGAGAAGAAGAAGAAGAAAGGAAGGAAGAGTGTACACTTGAACAAGATTTAAAAGAATCAGATTTGCATTTATGCCATTTATAAAAAGAGACGATTCAGATGCTATTTGGAAAAACAGGCTCTCTTTTTTTTTCTTTTTTTTTTTGTATAATTTGTTTTTCTATAGGAAAGCGAATGCTTTTATAAAAAGAAAGTTTAATGCTTTTTCTTTTTTGGGTTTTAGACCACAAATAATTTTGAATCACCAAGTGAACAAATCAGCAGCCTTAATTTGGACGGATGGTATCACATGAGATACAAATAGATAGGCATCAAAGTTTAGGTATGTGGGATTAGATTCTGATCTAAATTATGTGTAATAATTAAGTTGAATGAGTGGCTCTAGTTTAATTATGGGCCACGTTCAATCTTGTCCTCTGTCTCTAATTCGAGAATGCCTTTGTTTTTTTAATAATAATTACATCAGGAGGAAAGAAATCTTGGAGTTTCGATCCTAGTGCCAAGCAGAGGGGAAGGGGGAGGGCTATAACTACTGTGGTAATTCCGCTCGACAATTCGAGCATGCATTTTAAGCTGTAATGAGATGTTCTGGTGTCACCAAATTTTCCTCCAAAATAGAGAGGGTTTTATTTCATTTATCTAATGCACAAGTTGTGTAATTTGACATACATAAATGAGGATGAAAATAAGAATTTAGGTGTTGGGGTTGGGTTGGGTTGGGAAGAAGATCAAGAAGACAGATTAGAAACTTAAAAGAAAAGCTGCAGTTTCATAAGAAATCATCAGCCTTTACATACCAAATATCAGATACAAATTTGAAAGCAAAGCTTTGACATTATTTATCTGGTAACATATATAGCACAAGTTAGCCCATGCCCTCTGTAATATATTATTGAGGGCTGATAATTAACCTTGAATATACAAGGTGGGGTTGTGCTTAATAATCTCTCAAGCTACGCTGCTCGCTCACCAGGAATTTCTTATGCTCGAACTTGATAAACTCATCAGCTTCATCATCAACATCTTCTGCCTCTTGAACCACATAGTTCTGACGAACTGGAGTGTGCTGATAATGTGACACGTATGCCCTCCTTGTTCTCGGGGCCTCCTCAACAACACGTTCCTCAAACTCAGTGCTGAACTTGACATGGTGTTTTGGGCGATGCTGATGGGGTTCAGAAACGGGCCTGTTAGGCATAGGAGCCACTACTGTGGTTACAAAGAGCGGGTAGTCGTTTGAGTTACTACTTATGAACGACATTTTCTTTTCTGTAGTTGTCAAACGCTTTGTTTAGTAGGTTAGAGGATGCTGAGGTGAAAGGCTTGTATTTATACATAAATATATATATATGGTTAAGGTAGAGGAACGTGCAGGGTTTGAATTTTTGAGCTGCATTATATCTACAGAATAAGATTATATTCTTGAACGATAAGATTGAATCCAATGCCTCTCTTTCTGGTCTACAGAATCCCATAAAGAAGAAGCACTAAAATAGTTCTCTTGGGGTTTTTGGATTACAAAAAGTTGGGGCATTTTGAGATATATTGGGGAGGAGGAATGGAATACTTAAAACGAAATTCGGATTTGCATCAATGGTCAAAGCCTTTATGATAACAATTTGAGGAAACGAGTTTTGATCTTGCCAGGAAGCCAATTTGTATCCGTCACTTCATTGATTTGGCTATTTAAGATCACTTTCCGGAATTGAGTGTTCAATTTCATAATCATTAATAAGTTCTAGCTACTGATCGGTTAGAATCTTTGAACATATTAGGGTCTATTTGATAATCATTTCAATTCTCATACCATGGGATACTGCTAATTGACAACAATGACAGATGAAAAAGATTAGTATTTGACCATACCACACCTTCCTTGTAAAAGAGAGGTTTGAAAGGCAGTTAAAAGTATGGTAGATTTTTGAAAGCGTGAATTGTGATGGTGACTTTGTTGAAATTCATGAACAGGTGGTGATCATGGAGCAATTTTTACCTACAATTGGCACACTGTCGGCAGGACTTTAATAAGATAGGCTTTTCAAGATTCAGATAACAGTGAATCGTTTTTCATGAGAAGGTGATACAATGAACAGGGCATATAAAATAATTTTTGGACCACCATGAGAGTTTAATGCTTGGAGGTTGGGACAAGTCAGAGAACTTTTTATTTTAGCAGACACCAGTAGGGTTTTTGTTCTCCCCAATTGCAGGTCAAATTTTCAGATACTTCACTACTGAATTTTAATTAAAATAGACGAGGGTTTTGAAATTCTTCTTTCTTTCTCTTTCCATTTATCAGATTCAGCAAATTTCAACTGATCTAGCTAGAAGGTGGGAGGAATGCAGGGGAATTGAAAACAACCAAACATCCTGGATTATCACCAACCAAGTTTTGTTTTAGTAATTATGATCTTTTTATTTATAGGTTTTGGTTCAGAAAGTAGCAAAGAAAAGAGCAACTGAGCACATCATACAGTGATCTTAAAACATCAAAGTAGAGGCAGCAGAGCATTTGCAATGACTTAGCACCAAACACAACTTTGATGACAAAAATCTCTCCCATTTTAGGCTCCCTTTGACAGCCACTCAGATTTCCAGCCCCCGTTGCGCTTCCACCTCACGTTGTCATCGAAGCCATGGCAGTACTGAAGGCCGTCGTGATTACCCCAAACACTGCGCTCATATCTCATTTCCTGCACTCTCATTGTTGCAGGAACATGCACCTCATGGAAACTAGTCTCACATTCAACATTCTCCATTGCATTGTTGAACACAGCACCTTGTGAAAACTGTGAGGCATTGGTGACGTCTATGAGAGGCATTAACTTTTTGGCACCAGAGGCATGGTTATAGGAGCCACACCATCCATTTTGGTTCATGTTTTGGGCATGCCAGCTGCCATCATGCAACTGCAGAGCTTGGCTTCCATCAAACATCAAATTGTGCTTCAACAGCTGAGAGTTGAGGCATGAAGAAGGCACAATCTGAACACCTGAAAAGGCTGAAATATGGTTGTTGCGATAGTCATCTTTTGAGTGCCAAGCTGCCTCCTGATGCATTGAATAGCTCTGTTGCTGAGCCTCCTGGCGCATGCCATAGCTCTGCTGCTGGAACCCGGAGGCATGACGCATTTTCTTCGATTGGAGTGTCTTATTACGTCTGTAATATTTCGATCTGGGTTGTCTCTGATCATGTTGGAGGTGCCATTTATAGGCTTGGTTTGAATGTAATGCAAGTTGTGACCAGATAAGAATGCATTTCAATCCGTATATTTTGAAAGAATAGCATCATCTAAGAAATGCTAGGGGAATGGATGTGATTCCCATTTTACCTGAGGATCTTATCATTCATCAATGAGGAAGGAAACAAAGTAACACACAGTTGAGTCAATTGGTCAACAACAGACCGTGGGGCCAATACACCACAGCGACAGATAGGCAGTACATTTTCCAACAAGAGTTAAAAGGAACGAAAGTATTTTACGAATGATCCTCCACACCTTCATCTGTCCAATATATGTTTTTTTAAAAATTAATTCTGCACAAGACATATTACATATATAATTGTTCATTTTATTGTTCCTCATTGAAACCATCTCCATTACTTCCCAACAAACTCAGATCCTGACAACTTCAACCAATGCGACAGATGCAAGCCATGAAAAGGAAACTTGACAAGAAAAACGTAAAACTTGCAGGGCAGTGCAGATCATTGATATACTCGATACATATAGGGAGAAAAAAGAAAGTTCCAACGAATATCTTCAACCAAAAAGAACATGACAGGAGAAAAGAACATGCACAAGGGCACAAACTGCCCTATCGAGTGTGCCTTTTGATCAATAAAAGATCTAAAAGCAATTCAGATGTCACAAATAAAGTCAGTTCACTGCATAAACGAATAAAATGTCTCATAAACAAAATTTCCCAACAAGGGGAATGCAGGACCGTTGTACTATCTTTCCAGTATATCTGGGGAATCACGCAGTACACCAGAGCTAAGAAAACACAAGCACCTTGTGACAACCGTTCCCAGCATAGCAGGCTCCCTCTCAGTAGATAGACATGCTCCGCCTTACACTAAGCCCAACTCCAGTGAAAGTTATGTACAAAACATTACCCTAATAAGTACCCAAAAGTATGTCCAGCCCCCCAACATTTTCAAAGAATGATGTAAAATTACCCAATCATGAGGCACGGCTATGTCAGCGACACACCACAGTCATCAATTGATTGTTCGGTTGAACCCTTAGGAGTCACAGAAGCTGCATGACCAACTATCTTTACAGAAACCGTCATCAAACCTTGCTGGAATAAAGCTCAGCCACTCTCTCTTTGGCAATTACCAGGCAAGAGAAATTTATACCTCTCCGCATCCTCGAACAGATGGGATGGAAGATGAACAGCTGAGAAGGAATGAGGAACAGGTCCCATTTTCCCGATGATTTCCTTGAAGGTGTACTCTTCAGGAAGCATATCAAATAAATCAGACCCCTTGCAGATTACTTTCTGAACTCTTTTTGGGTTTAGATAGTTAGAAAACCTGACTCTGTCATAATGGCTGTATGCTTTCATCTTAAATATGAACTCACTGATATACCGAAAACAAAAGCTACAATGCCACCCTGCATCAGCCAAGATGTCATCTGTCTGCCGATAGTGTGCATACGTCGTCTTCCCTACCCGGTACCTGTGGACTGAGGCTCTCCAACTGTTATTGTCCACAAGAAACTCAAAGGAATAAAGATAGTTCTTCAGCCGAAGATGTAGGATTTCAGGAACCTCATCACACCACCTCAGGAGATTGATAGTGTGTCTGCTTGGGATCTCATCAACATCAGACATTATCAACAAGTCGTCGTCAGTAATACCAGCTATTTTGAGAAGATTGTCAAGTGTTACTCGCTGATATGCCTCCTCAACAAATGGGTTTTCCCCTCTCTTGAATCTTCCTCCAGTAGTGCCGTAAGTTAACCGAGGCTCCACAAATTTGAACTGATCACGATAACGGGAAAAGAACAGAGGCTTTTGCAATCCAGTAAATGTTGAGTTTGACTCGAGGAGAACAAACTGCGTTACATAGGGATACAATTCTTTCCACCTTATGGTAAGGATGTCCATCTCATTACTGAACAACACAGCATCAAAAACACGCCTAGGGTACTCACGGATGCCCCAACCATGAAGTCTGCAGAGGTTCTCCATGGACACATTCTCATGGTAATAGTGTGGGATATCATGGAAAGGTTTGGGTGGCGATTCCCATAGTGGCCGTAAGAAGTATGAGATCTTCTGTCCGTGCACATAAATGCCAAAGATGCATGTCGGAATAAGTGTAAAAAGAATGATGAGAACTTTCAAGTCAAATCCACGTAGAATGCAGCGAACTCTTGACATACTCAACATTCTGCCTGATTCCTGCACAATAGTAAAGGGCATATCTGTCAGACACAAGACAAGCTGAAATCCACCAATCAAGAAATTCCAAGAACATATAGATTCAGTGCATGATCATTTCACTAGGCAAACATTCTACCATAGGGGATAATCCTTTACATAATTCATAGATGGCAGAAACATGAATGCTACAATATCTGTTTAGTTGGCAGAAACAATTGTCAATTCTAAACCAAAAGTCACAAAATCTAGAGAAAATAAAAGTTCATAACCAGTGGCAGTTTCTATTTCCTTTGGGTTCTTTAGCACCTAACTAATCTTTGGGCCAACACTTCCACAGGTGTCTGAACCGTATCAGATACATAAAACTCATGCAAGTTTCAGTAGTAAGGTGCAATGGATCAGAAAACCAAAGAGAAGAAAGGCGAAGAACAACATATATAAAATGAGTGCTCTTGTTATGACAAATTTTATATCGCCATCAAAACAAAGGCAGGAAAGCCCATCTGATCTGGTTGCCATACTTAGACTGAACTGACCAGAATCACAGAAACATAGCTCTTAAAAAGCACACAGATTAAACCTGGTCGCTAAGAAAACTCAGGGAAATAAGTCAAACACTTTTCTCATAAGTTAAAACTCAAATGCCCAAAAAAATTGCTTTGAAAATAACGCAGCAAAAGTTAATAGTTTTTAACGCAAATTTCCGGATATACAATTTTCATAAATCCCATTGCTGCTACATTATCTAAGCGAAAATACAGAACCCAGAAAACAAAAACCATTAAACCCACCAATCAGATACAAAGAAGAAAAGTACCACACTTTAAAATTGAAAGGAAATTTAAAAAAAAATAGAAAAGTAAAGTACCTGGCCACAAACATTGCCGCAAATATCATCGGTCTTCTTAGAGCAGTAATGGCCTCCTCCTTCACCCATCATCCACCACATTTTGTCTCTTCCTCTCAATAACTCCACCACCCACCAGAGTAAAGGATAGAGCAGATCGATCAACCTCGGAAAATTTACCAAAACAAAACCAGAAGCCGATTGCAAAATCGGAAACTTTCCCAGATTTACTTCCCCGATCTCCTTGCCCCAAGCAGAAATGGAGACTCTAAATGGAGAAAATTGGCCCCTTTGGTTAAGCAGGTAAGATGAAGCTCAAGCCGTCTCTCTCTGTCTCACAGAAGCATACAGATCAGAGATGCCTAAGAATTTCCAAAATAGTGAGAGGAAAATATCAACTTTAGAGTCTGAGGGAAAAGAATAATAAGAAAAAAGAAAAGGGGAAAGAGAACGTTGAGAAAGCAAGGCTGAAACAATAAGTAGAAGGAAAGGGTGTGTGGGCTGTGGCCTCTCTGGTATTGGGTGGCAGTTGTCCTCACAACGCAACACTGCACCTACACAAAATGAAGCCGTTTCACTTGTCGTCTACCCCACCTCCCCTTCCTTCCCCTTCTTCTTTTGTTTTATATTTTTCCATTAACGATTGATTATTATTATTAAATTTTAACCTAGTTTTTCTCTTTCTTTTTTACCAAAATGCCCTTAAGACTCTTTTTCTTATTTATTTATTTTCGATAAATGATAAGATACTTATAAGATACTTTTACAAGAGTCCAATACACTCACAATAAAACTACACAATGGCGAAGGGATTAATCATAACTAGGTATCAAACTTATCACAAATATTTAAAGTTCCTTCATGTTTTGGGGAACTTAGATACCCTCAAACTCATCACAAATATCCACAATAAAACTACACTACCTCAAAAAGGTTAGCCACAATTAAGTATCAAAATCATCATAAATATATATATCGTGATCATCATCCATGTGAGTCAAAAGTCTATAAAATAAATAAAATAAACCTGATCAACTTTTCCTTTCAATTTTTATTTTGAAGTGATTATATAATTTTTTATTCATCGTATGTTAATAAAACATAGTGGAAGTTAGGAATAGAATTATTCTTGGAACTATTCAATACTCATCTATGATAAGTAAACATGTTATAAGAGGGAACAAATACCACTAAACTAAAGACTAGTTGGATTTTGAGATGATTCCTTTACTCTGACATTGTTGTTTCAATGAAGTTTTCTGACTTTGATAAAATAAAAAAATAAAAAAGTTAGAAGAAAATCAGGAGGGTGTTTTATGTCATTTTGGGTGGTGGAACATGGGGAAGGAACGGTTTGGCTGGGTCTTGGGTGGGGGAGGTCGGTTTTGGGGGCCCACGCGTCCTGTGACTGGCTCAATCAAGGGACGATAACGCCATGACGATGTGTCGTCTCCCGCTTGATTTTGCTGACAATTGGTGCATCGCTATTTCCAGCTACGTCTTTCGCCCTCTCTTGGGCTCTCCTGGACACGTGTCCCGCTGTCCTTGGCTTTCATATCTTGTTGAGTGCCGTATATTTCTAGGTGGCAAAGTTTTTTTTGGGCCCCTTGGAGACCTGCGCTTGGATTTCTTATTACTTTTTGTATTTCTTATTTAGTACCCATTGGCTTGATCATATTTTTTAAATAGGTTTAATAGCACTCTTAACTCTAATTTCTGTCAAAGCAAGTGGAAGAAAATGAATAAGGCCAAGGTGGCATTTGAGAAGAAAAAAAAATGTGTCTTCGATGTGACCGTCACATAGTAATACTAATTCACTAATGTTATAATACATACATTCATTATTATTGTATTTCAGAATGTTAATAATACGTGAATTAATAACCGCACGTTACCACACACATATATAATTCATATTTGATGAAAATTGTGGGTCCTACCATGAGGCTTTCCTTTGTTATAATTAAGGGGAGAGGGCTTCCTTGATTGATTAGGTCTCCATGGGAAGGGGGGATAAGATGGTGGGTGGTGCCAATGCTGCTGCTGCTGCTGTTGTTGAGAAGTAAAATATGATACCCCCATTTTTATGCCAGAGCAGCACATGGCTTATAATCATTGTACATTCATTGTGTTACTATAAAAAAATATTTGATCAACTAATGAATTATTTCCTAAATTAGTTTATTATTCTAACTAATTAAGTCGTCTTCATTATTATACTGGTCAAGGAGTTTTAAAATTTTTTTGTTTTTTTATTCTTTATTTTTTGGGGTGGGGGTGTTTATGGTTGAATATGGTGATGATTTTGGTGAAGTGGTTACCTAATGAAGTTGCGTTTGATTATATCATTTCACTCTCTCCTTCGACCGAAATTCAGAAGTTGACCAAAAACAAAAGCCTTTCCTTCTGTTCAATTTCAATCACATGTAATAAAACTATTCATCTTCTGTTTTATTTTCCTTCTTTTTGTATGTTTATTTTGTTTTATTGGGTTTTTATTTTATTTAATGTTTTAGCTTTTTTTGCAAATTTTAAACATAAGATGAAAATGCACCTCCTTTATGTTTCTAACGTTAATCTTTTGTTTTTATTTACAAGGGGATTCGAACTCTCGATTTCTTGCAATGTAAGAAAAATAGGAATGTAAATACAACTAGACTAAGAGCTAATTAGTTTTAATTTGTTAGAAATGCAGTTTATTTGCAGTAAAGTACACTCGGCATATGCCATGTATAAAACTTCCCCAAAAAAAAGTGAAGGGTATGAAATATGACTATGCCACGTATTAAATTTCCAACAACGATTTTACCAAACGTAATGATTTATCATATACATTCTCACGACTCTAATTCGTACAATAGATGTTTCCTTTGTTTAAGAACTCTTTTTATTCCATGGTATGATTAGTTAAGATGAACAATTGAACCGTTCATTTTAAGTCTCTATCATGAAAGTTCAAATCAGAGTTTAGAAGTTGGAACAATTCCTAAATGACACCATCTAAAAAATATCCGCGGGTCAATTTGGTACACTACTATGCGTTATGCCTAATCAAATTCCAAATGAATACGCTATATAGCTATAGTAGATCTGGTCACATAAATGGTCCTATTTCTTTCCGACTTTCTCATGCAATTTCCTTCCCATTTCCTTTCTCTCTCTACTTTATAGACTTTTAGACTTTAGATACGTTTGGAACACTCATAATCAAAATGCGCCATATGTGGCCATGAGGCAGCTGACACACGTCGCCACGCATTAACTTATTACCAATATTAATCGTTGTTAATTAAGTGAAAGTAACATTTTTATCTTATAAAACTGAACGTTAGCAAAATTAATAGCGATGCCAATTCTGTCATTTTGAGTGCGTCGACTTGACCCAATCGTTCAATTAAACCATAGAGTACGGAGCGCAAGTGTTCGGAGGGACGACGCGCGACTTTCGTCAACCAGCTCCTTTCTTCTTTCTTTCTTTTTTTTTCTGCCTTTTGCACGTCTCTTCTCTTATGAAAAAATTTCTGTTTTTTATGATCTGTTTTTATTGAGAGTAATGATAATATACTAAATTTACATCAAATACACAAATGTTATAACTCAAATTTAGAATTTTGCGTGAGGAGTAATTACTCCAAACCACTACATAGTGAGTACTTTGCAAAATTTCTGAAATTTAATAATTGCCTATTGCGAGCTAAATTTTGTTTTCTTATTTTTCGGTGAGTCAACCCACAGTTTCTTTTTTTTGGTTTGTTTCGGACGGGCTACAGTTAAGCTAAGTTTGGTTGACCAGAAACACAAAGAAAAGGAAACCCTATTTGTGTGTGATTAACTTTCATGCGGTTTGTTGATTTGGAATATATATAAAAAGAAAAAAATTGTTAATTTTGCATTTCCTTTAATAGAAAGTTGGTCTAAAGTCTCTAATTAAAATTAAGGAGAAACAATACAGGAGAATTAAGGACACAAAGATACCCAACAGCTGCTTTGCTTGGCTTTCCAGTAACATCGCATGTGCTTTATATTATTTTTTAATTTGATTCATATTATTCCTGCGTCTTATCTTTATTAGGAAGGTAAACATAAGTTGAGCTATAATAATAAAAGAAAAGGCTACAACTAAAAAGTAATTTAATTAGATGCCCAGCAAGGCAGTATCTTTGCATGCTGATGGGTACTTAATGATTGATAATTCGATGTTAATCCTCCATTCCATTGGGAATATCAAGTGCCTTTTTTTTCTAGCTCATACCACAAACAAAGCATCTCCAAGAATCAAGAATCGAGCACCTAACACCTGTCGCATATGAGAATAACAAGTGAAAAATAATTGCTTTTCTCTATCCAATCTGTATCCTATATTTAATCGTAGGGTTTTCTTCTTTTCTTTCCTATTTTTTAAATAACAAATTCATTTAGATGCATGGTTTGTTATTTTGACAAGGACGGTGGCTCCTAAGGGATTGATCTTCTTGTCACATCTTGTTACAAAAAAAAAAAAAAAAAAAAAAAAAAAAAAAAAGATTAAATTGATGAATGAAATGATAAATTGAATTTAATGTATACAATACGTGACAAAAGAGATAGAAACAAAAAATGTATAAACTCGGGAAATGTAAGTTTCCTCCGGCCTTACACGTTTAAAAGTCAAACAATAAGGCCTCCCGTTAACGTTATGGTATTTATAATATACTATGAAGTGTTAGGACCCCCCTCTATTTGAATAACGCATAACGACAACGTCATCTTTGAATCCTCTGCAAGCTCCATACCCAAGAAGTCAGGTCTCCACGTTGTTAGGGGTCATGGCCTTTCCTTTGGAACCATTCTTTTTGTCTCTTTGCCCTAGTGGGCATCGGTCCAATAATCAGTCAAGTCTCATGACACAAGTACTTTTAAAAGCTAAGCCTAACAACATAAAAATATGACAGAGAAATCAACCAAGCCCATAACTTTTCAAGCTAGATATGAACAAGTGTAGCCCAATTATCTCAAAACATACCAACAAAAAAGAAGCCCAATAAGATTTGGTTCCATGAGACTCAAGAGTTTAAGACAGCAGTTAAAACCGCTGGCCCAGGTCCCATGTGACACAGTTGGAG